ACACACTCCGGTATGCTGTGTGTTACTGCTCTCTTTTGTCATTGGATGGGGAATTACAGAAAACAACCAGCTTTGTCGCTACAGGATTGATCTCAGCTGTACAAACGAAATTCTCCTTCCATCTGTGAATCTCAATCTCTCAGTATATGTTCTTTTAGCATGTACCATTTGCCTGACAGCAGACAAAAGTTTTTGTTGAACATGAATCATTTTTGATTTAAATAGTAAACATAATCAATAATAATGATAATATTTCCCTATTGAATACAGTTCGTCTGCTAAATGTGTTTGTTTCTCTATTGACTGTGGATGGTTGTGTCGTATTCCCCGCTTAATTACTTCGTTTTAAAGTCTGTTCAGGATAGCTGAGAAAGTGAAGATACTTTGCTGTGAAGTTTGTTCAAAGGTGATGTGTATTATTTAAATGTATTTTAAAGTAGTAAGTATATTGTGTGTCGTGTTTGTTTCGAATTAATATTGAGCATGTTCTGGTAAATATGCATAAGTATATTTTGGGGGGCTATTTCTGATGAGTATACAGGAGTTGTAGAACATCGTTGGATGTAGATACTACAACTTGACAAAAGGATTGAACGAAGGAAAATTTTGCGTGTTAGTTTGGGGGGGGGGTTTGTTTGGTTACAAGATTTCATTATGAGCCGACATCGGTTAGATAATTATTGGTAAACTAGCTTGGAGTTATGCTTGTTGGAAATACGCCCTCACCACCAGGTGTCGATCGCGGGATCTTCCGGTTACAAGGCTAGTGAGCTCGTAGACCATTAATAGCCACTAGTGTAACTACAGAAGACAAGGACCAGGCAACTGATCTTTTATTAAGGAAAATCAACATTATTATAGATAGATTATTGTCTTTTGACTTGTTGTTTCTCACAGAAAGTTAACCTTACATCTCTTTGTGGCTGTGTCATATCATCCATATGCTAACTGTATCCGCCTACGCAAAGCCTTTATTCTTATTTTCTCACCACCAATATTGGGGACAAAAACATTGACATCAATTACTGTCTACCAACTTTGGCTAGCAGGCAGCTCTCACTACACTCGTTTCCCCGTCAAAGACTTGCGACTGATGTTGGTTTGGTCTTCTTGGTTCTTGGGGCTTTGCTCTTTTGTCTTGCTGTCTGGAATCTCGGTGCTTCCGGATATTCACCTGTTTCTCTGTGTTTACCATTGCGATTGTGTCCGCGTAACCCCATCACAATGTGACCATATGTGGTCCTTCCCACTTTGGAAACTGTTGACCTGACCCTGTCGCACATTCGTCGGTATTTCGCATCACACTTTCATATGCTGCTTTCTCCCGAGCTCCCAGCAGCGTCCTAAGTAGCAGGATTAGGTCCAATCCAAATGGCGGGCATATGAATTCCAACTTCTGTTAGTTCATTATATAGCGTGACTGACACTAGCCAGTATCATCGTTGTCGAGTATTTGTCCTCACATCCGACCTGATCTACGCCACTGGTCATGACTTTTCATTGGAATTATTTACTTTTCAATTAGATCTTCATCTCTGGCTCTACTCTAATGTACACATATAGGAGTTTTGGTTTTGATTTGATTTAAATAAAATTAATATTATCTTTTTGAATACAATCCATCTTCTACGTCTTTTTTCGGCCTACTTATTCCGTTTTAAAGTTTGTTTAGGAAACCTGGGAAGGTGTTCATGACTAGCTTTCACCCTTGTCGATAGTAAGATTACTTTACTGGGAAGTGAGATCAAGAATTTTGGGATCAATCTGTCATTGTTTGTTTTGCAAACATTTTGTGTTGATGACGAATAATGTCAAGTGTATGGATGTTAAAACCCCTGAGATTTAAGGTGATTTCATGTCTCTATCTGGGAGGATGCTGTTTATGCGCTGTTGACATCCGTAAAAGAAGGATTACACAGTTCTTCAAGAAGATATTCACTGTAACTTCCTTAGGGAATAGGGTTTTCTAGTTTACCATTACTGTTAAATAGCCTGAAACACAGGATTCTGCAGTTGATCATCTATCTCTGAGGGCATTGATCAATTCGCCTAATTATCTGAAGCTAGGTATACCGGTTGTTTAACGTGGATTTTGTCCAAGAGAATGCAAGAACCTTCTGCTACCTGGTTACTATTACAAAGAGGTGAAAGTGAGGTTATAAGTAGTGCAACAGCTGAACATCTGATCGATACTGATCACCTTATTTCTTCAGCCTGTTTCGTTAAAGTTATCTGCCTGCCATAATCATTATGTATTTAACTCCTCTGTATTAATGGGGCTTTCACCATGGAAATAGAAAAGTCTGAAAAAGTTTGTTCAATTACTCCTTTACATTCATGATCTTAATCCGTCTATACTAAAGTATTACAATCCTCATTCATACTTTGGTCCTGCTTATATTTCATTTTGTTTATTGAATTTATGTAGATATATATTTCGCTTTTTATGTCGACTTTTGTTATTAATTTCATTCTGAACAATTCCTAGTATTAACTCACTTATCACCTTTATTTATTTAATTCAATAATTTAATTATGATTGTTCCATTGGATTCCGAGTGAAACAGCACATCTTCATTATTTTTCTTATTCTTTACAGTCCTCTTTGGCTGGTTCCACGGTTGCCCATATTCCCTCATATCCTGATCACATAACCTACTCCATGTCACCCTCTAATTGACGCCCAACTCGTCGCTTCCCATTCAGGTTCAACTAGAATGACGGTCTGTCGCGCGATGACATTCGACGATTTCCTCAGTGTATATGTAAAACCTGGGCACTGTGGTACTAATTAATTCTATATTAGTTTGTTTACTAGAAACATCACACAGTGAAACAGTATTGTTAACTGGATGACACCGTTTCGAACAAAATTTATTGCTCATGATCATATCATCAATAATAATCACACGACTTCGAAACTTCAGTTTTATAGTTTTCTTTGTTCTCTCCTATTTATCGAAGGGCAATAGAATTTTCCAGATGTCCAAATGAGTGGACAGGTGTTGAATCATTCCTATTACACGTATTCTCTCTCAGTTGATTCGATAAACAAAGCTTCTGTTATCAGTCCCTCCCTTCATTCACCCTGTTACATTGGATTTTAAAAATGTCATCTTATCCCATCCTATTTTATGTTGTGTGTAATTGCATGTGGTGTAGTGCTATAGCTGAACTATTCTCCAGATTTCTTATCTTATTCAGGTCAACTAATCTAAATATTGCTAGGTTTTTATGCTCGGCTAGTCTGACTGACTGCCCCTGTTCTACTACTTTTACCTATGCACTTGACCTGACAATCATTCAAGCAGGGTATTAGATTAACTAAGTTGTTTTGATTTAAAGGCTCCACAGGATCCACCATTTAACTAAAAAAGCTTGTTTCTGAGTTTGTGGGTTCTAATGCCAGCCACTTTTATTTCTGCCTTGTTAAGAATTCTGCGTAAGGTTTCCGAGGCTCCTTCTTTGTATGGAACTATTACTGATGATTTAGATTCCTTATTGTTGGTGTTGTCATTACCTTGCGTATGTTTGACATGCATGTCGTCATTAATATTACTATTATTATTATCACTATCACTACTATTATTATTTATTTTATTTTTACGTTTCCTTACGTATTTCCTGACTAATTTTTCAGGGTAATTATTAAGTTTCAAGGCTTCTCTTATGTGTATCACTTCCTGTCTTAGATTTTCCTTGGTACTACTTAGTTTTTGTGCTCTTTTACTTAAACATTTCACCAATCCTATTGTCACTGACATAGGATTGGATGATCGGAAGTCTAAATGTCTGTTTAAATGTGTGGGTTTCCTGTAAACACTAGTGTTTAACTTCACATCTTCTTTCCTTTCTACGCTACAATCTAACATTGGAAGTTCCCCTTCCTGACTTTCCAATTCATAAGTGAATTGAATTGCCTCCACCTTTGAGTTAGTGTGTTCGAAAAATCTATCTGTATCCTGCGTTCTACGTACAGTGAATGTGTCATCTACATTTCCTCAGTGTGTGTCCAATCTGTCTTCACTTCTTTCGGTTTATTTGTTTAGCAGTAGGTTTGCTCCCAGAGTTTCTCCTTGCTAATTCTTTCTGGTTGGACATTTGATTTTCAGTATGCAGCCAGCAAAGGGGTGCAGATGTTGATAAAAGTTTCCACTAGCCTGCTGGAAATCTGATTTCTGAGTGAAGAAGAATATTTTGTTGCCTTTCTGATTCTCTAGCTTTGACATTATCCCCAAACGTTTCGACTGCTTGTAGTTGAAACGATGCAGGCTCCATCTTCTCTATGTTCATTTGAAGTCTTCCCTCCTCTGGCTGTTTTTCTCCATCAGTTTGTTGGTTTTCTCCGGTAGATCGGCATTTGTGTCACATTGGGCATAAATCAGCTGATCTGAGGTCAGGTTCGGTGCGCAAAAGGAAACTGTGAAGAAATCCAACCAGGAATTGTGTAAACTGTAAATTAAAATTTCGATTGAATTTATTATCAATAGGTTCAAATAGCTAGTCACATTTCGGCTAGTTTCTACCGATTCCAGTATTTGCCTGTACTGAGGGAAGCTAGGCACATTGCTAATCAGCCTTGGCCAAACGAGAGAAACAGCCGTTCAGTGTTGAAATCCCTTCGACAGTCTGTCTAGCAAGCATAACTTGTTGATATAAATAGTATATAACTATTCACATACATCAATCAGTAGTATATTACGTCGCTTATCGATCCAAATAACGAATACTATATATCTTTTTGCTTTGAACGTCCATTATCCAATAAAAAATGTCACCAAAAGTCACTAATCAACCAACACCTAGCCAACACGTATGAGTCATCGGCTTTTAATCAAAAAAAGCGAAAATGTCTGATATATATTCACAGTCAGATTTCTAAAGCAAAATTTTTTAATCCAAACACTTGTAATCGCTACAGAAAATCGATGAAGTATGCTTTTCTTTTGAAGATAACAAATTTCAGAGAGAGAAAGTTAAACATCTTGTTTCCTGATTGGTTAAAATACTCCATAGTCTAAATCTGCAGCTGCATCACATCCAGGAGTACGCTGAAGGGTAAAAAGACGGATTAAAAAGAAAAATTAATTCCAGAAATTACCAAGTGACAAAATAAACATTAATATTAGGAGTCAGATTTCATGAAATCAGTTGGACGGGCCTGAACAGCTTAGTGATACTGCTACCTTTTACATGTATCTTAATTCGCCTTTCCTAGTGTTTCATTCTGGTGTTTACCACACAAATAATAGTTCCTACATGATGGGTTGATGCTTTTCTCTAGTGAATTTAAATGCCCATTCTAAACTCACTTTGATTGACTTCAGGAAAAATCAATTGGGGTTATTTTCAGGTATCGGTTTCTGGGGATTTGATTGGTTGGTTACAGGAATTCATCATGAATTTGCACCGACTACAGAACCATTGGAAAAACTGGGAGTATTGGACAACCGGGTTTTTCGCCAGCGTAGTTTAGGACTCCTCACAACACGCACCCACACCGTGGGGTACAAACCCAGGACCTTATGGTCGCAACGTCTTTGGCGTGGGTGGGTGTGGGACAAATACTCGCCGAAGACACTGGCTAGCTCTCATGCTATGTCATGAACTGGAAAGAGTTGGGATTCATGGGCTGGCCACTGGATCGGGTCCCAGTGGCTTAATGGTCTACGAGCTAGCTTGCCTTGTCCTGGAAGGTCCTGGGTTTGAATCCTATAGTCCCAAACCAGGCTGACGAAATAGCACAGTCCAGTACTTCCAACTGGTCTTCCATTGGTTCTTTAATCGATGTCAACTCATCATAATGAAATCCTGCAACCAATTATGTTTACACTCACTGCCTACTTAAAAATTAGTAGGTAGATAATAAATGTAGATAAAATTAAAGTATCATTTTGAAAACAAATTAATGCATGTTTTTGATCGCAGTTTACAGTCATAGTGCTATAAACAGAAGAACCCTTTATTCCAATGTGAACTGTAATATTGAATCATTCTGCTGAAGAACTTCGATGTTATTCTATTTACTGTTATCACTGCCAACCAGAGTTGATGAGAAAGTAATTTTAGTATGTTTTAGGGAGTGTTTATAGGCTAATTTGGACAACTTTTGCTTCAAATTCTGAGAATAATATACAAACGCATCAACAGACCACGCTTCCGCGGTATGAATTCCCACAGAAAATCAAAATAACAAACGCCAGAATATCAAAACTTGACTGATAGAATTTATTCTGCACCAAACAAAGGACTAGACGCATAACACTAGTTCACAACCAATTTATCTAGTACAGTCCTACATGAGGTTGAACGCTAGCCCGAATACATCAGGCTAACCTTTATGAGGGAGGCATCATAGCAGCTTGATAACTAGACAAAGACTGAATGCTGCTGTTAAGGAGACCGTTTTATGCATCTAATAGCATAATAATTGAGAATGTGAAGCCAACATATCCATCCATCCAAGCCGTTTGAACATGCAAAGAATGACGTCAGATCCTACTGTATTTACCAGTTTGAATGTAGGCGTGGACACACATACATAGGGAGGACTCATCGATCTCTGCAAGTAAGGCCTGGCTTCAAAGCACATCCCTAAATGGCTCCAGAAGCAAACAGAATCTTCAGAACCCATTAATGGTGAGAACAGGAGACCTAGCTCCTATCATAGAGACAGGACATAAAATTGACGTCAATAGATCTTTTAAATCTATCTATAAAAGGTGTTTGGGGCGTATCCTAAAGTTTGTGGAAGCCCTAGCTGGCAATTAGGAAGTTTAAACCACCTTTATGCGTTCAAAGCAACAATTCGTCATCACGCTAAACCACCTCCCTTGGTAAACTTTGTTTTTATACCATACCAGCCAGGGTAGATGCACTATTACCTCTGCTATTTGGTTTAGTGGTCTTCGTTGTTATTTTGACCTTCAATATATCCTTTCAACTTGACTTAAGTAGTCTATTTTCTCACCTCTTAACTATTTATTAGTTTCATATATATATTCATATGACAAGTGCGTGGAGTGTGATCAGATTGTTTGAAATGTGTTGCTCAGATATACAATACACGATTCAGACAGACAAATTACGTCTTCGTATTGCTTTATCTATATACATATTCAAGCATTGGTTTTGTAGGGATTTTGTTTGATTGCATGGAGGATTTCACCATTAGCTGACATCAGTTAGAGAACCACTGGAAAACCTGAGAGTACTGGACAGCTCATGGTGAAATCCTCCATGCAATCAAACAAAATCCCTACAAAACCAATACTTGAAAATTAATCTGATGCTCACCAGCGACTGGCCCTATTCAGGCAGTTAACCTGGGGTTCTAGTGGGTAGCCGTGACCAGTAGGGTACAGAGGATTGAAGGGGAGGCAGTAACTCATCGAAGAAGACATTGCGAAATGGTCGCGCTATGTCGTCAATTGGAATTCAAGGACCATTGGACTAGCGGGTCCCAGTGGCTTAACGGTCTACGAGCTAGCTCACCTTGTAACGGGGAGGTCCTGGGTTCGAACCCCGCAATGTAGGTGCGTACTGATGAAGAGTTCCAAACTAGGACGAAACAGTCATATATAATTTAAAAGAAATATCTCAGTGAAAATAATACTTACCCCGGGGTAAGCTCCTTCGTCAACACTGAATTCTTTAGTTCTAATTTCTAATTTCTCAATAATAGCAGCCATTCGTGTAGTTTGTAGTTTCGTTTCCTTATCAATCGATATAATCCTGTATTATTATATAACAGTGATACATATAGAGTTAATAAGAGTTATGGAGTGGGAGATAGCAAACAAGGCATGTAGTTGAAATGAGTGTATTTGTAAGCATTTTTGTCATCTTGGTATCTGTTTGTTAAGTCAACTCACTAGTCACTCATAAGTCAGACCGTGATTTGTACCACAGGACAGACAGAAAATACCAGTATATTCAGATAATTGGTTTAACTTTAAGTCAAAGGTCTTCAGCCAGGACCTTGACGTTACAAGGTGAGTATATCGGCCATTCAGCCGTCGGGATGGAATTTAATGCCTCCTGAATTTTAACTTCTATCAGTTCACGATATATAGCGTGACCACCAGCTAATATGATCCTACATGAAGGTCAAACCACAGACCTTCATTAACAGTTGTCTTCTCTCAATACTCAGATCAGATGGCCAGAAAAGATCAGCAACAGAGATCTCCGGGAGCGAAACAACCAGGAACCAATTGTGAAACAAGTAGGCAGGAAGAAATGGAGATGGACTGGCTGGCCATACCCTGAGAAAACCATCAAGTGACATCACTAGACAAGCCATTGAGTGCAACACGAGTGGAAAGCGGCGAGTTGGTCGTCCAAGTGTGACTTAGAGGAGGTCATGTGAAGAGGAGATGAAAACGTGTGGGCAGACTTGGAGCCAGGTGAAGACTCTAGCAGAGAACCGAACGCAACGGAGACGCGCGGCTGCAGCCCTATGTTCCTGTAAGAATTAAAGGAAATAATAATAATTTATCGGTTAAATGGTGGATCCTGTGGAGCCTTTAAAACAAAACAATTAAGTTCATCTACTGCACTGCTAGAATGATTGTCAGGTCAAATACATAGGTCAAACTAGTAGCAGAACGGCGTCGATCAGTCAGACTAGCGGAGCATAAAAACCTAGCAGCAAAATCGAGATTAGTTGACCCGAATAAGATTAGAAATATAGAGAGTAGTTCAGCTATAGCACTACAAGCAATAGGATGGGATAGGATGACAGTTTTAAAATCTAATGTCACAGAGTGGAGGGAGAGATTGATAACAGAAGCTTTGTTTGTCGAATCAACTGAAGCGAATACGTGTAATAGGAATGATTCAACACTTGTCCCAGATATCTGGAAAATTCTGCTACCCCAACGAAGACAAATAGGAGAGGACAAAGAAAACTATAAAACTCAAGTTTCGAAGTTGAGTGATTATAATTGATGAAATCCTCCATTCAATCAAACAAAAAGTCCCTACAAAACCAATACTTGAAATGATTATGAACAATAAATTTTGTTCGAAACGTCATCCAGTAAATAATACTGTTTCACTCACTCTGTGATGTATCTAATAAACAAACTAGTATGGAATTACTTACTCTCACAGTGCCCAAGTTTTACATCTACATTAATATTCCTTCTGTCCTTTTCTGTCGTCTTTTGATAGCCCTGTACTTTCCAATAGGCTCTTATCTCCGCTTCAGACGATCTCTCGCATGTCCTACTCGGACTCATGCTCAACTCACTGTTACCCATTGAGGTTCTACTTGATCTTTTGGAGTGCAATGTTACTCGATGGTCTCTCAAAGTGTTTCCGATCCATCTTAATTATTTTCGGCATATTTGTTAGTCAATAGGTAGGTTCTTAGCTGGTTCGTTAGCTGTCAGAGTTCCCTGTTGTTAATTATTGCGGTTTGACCATCTGACCTTCAATATTGAGCCATAGAAGACAGAAGCCTGTTGGGAATGCCTTTCATGACGCTCTGTGCCTCTGAACCATGTAGAAGAACTGATTGAACGCTAGTATTGGAAATCTGAATCTTTTTATTTAGACTTAGTGTAATAGATTTCCGCTCTGATTTCAAATCAATGAAGGTCAGTCTTACTTTTCTAATGCTGGCTAGTTTAGGCATCCTCTTTCGTGACTCCTGTAGTTAAAGTGCTGCTACGGTGGCGAGTGGGTATCTTAATCACCGTTGTCTTCCCAATGACCAATCAAAATCCTGTCTCCACTGTTTCTTTCGCCAGTTTGTTTATTTTCTCCTAAAGCTCTTCAAATCTGTGTGAAATCAGACAGAAATCATCCAATAAGTTCACATTTTCCAGTGTCTTCTTATCAGCACAATGTTCACCTTTCACTTCACTCCCCACAGCCTGTCGCATGATCTAGTCCACCATAAACAAAAATATCATCTGTGATACTAGGATCCTTTGCAATAAAGGGTGATTTTCCTAATGGGGTGGATTGTCTGTGCCGTCCCTTCTTTTCTGGACGGCCCGAGAACCGGTTAGTAAACTCGGTAAAGATAAGGGTATCGAAGACAGGCTTTAAAGTCCGTGTAGAGATCCACAGCATTTAACACAAGGAATTTTTAACACCCTTGTCAAGGAATTGCTTCCATTTGGTTCAGAGATTTGGTGCGACTGTCACCTAACGGATTATTGTAGACTTCCGTCATCAACTGCTTCCACTCGGTACTGTAGATCAGATGGCCAACTGGATAGTGACACCACACTCCCGAACTTTGAATAAAACTCGAAATGGAAGCTAAGAGTTGATCCTTGATGTCAAAGTAACAAGGAGAGAATTATACGAACAAGACATAAGAGCATGTGGGCAGTCAGAAAGTCAGTGTAAAGTGATGGCGGGAAAAAGGGAGTTCAATGGATATCGGCTGTTGTAGCTCAATGTACCACTAAGAACTTCAGGAATAAATACTAATAATAATAGCCATATAAAAGCTACTAAAATAGTGTTTGTAATCGAACTTATGTATGGTTGAATTCTTAATCATCGTCTGAATGGTAAGTGAGTTCGCCTAGTGACCCAGTACGTTCTCAGATGCACACTGCTAAGCATCCCTCAAATGGGAAATCACAAAAGTTCAGTTTTCCCTGACTTCCAATGGTTCACTTAATCGTACCAGTCTACAACGAGATCTATCTTGAAACAATAATTCCATGAAAAATATCAACCAATAAGGTTACTAATAATTAATTCTGACAGATATGGACACAAGAAACTAGCCAATCAGAATCAGTCTGACAGTTAATGGTTGATTCTTTACCAATGAGAATCGTCCAGTATATATATATATATATATATATGTAAACAAATGCCTGATAAGGACGCACACACTGATTAAATTATCTAGCATGACATTCAAACGTTTGAAATAAAGACATTTTTAGAGAGAGAAAACAAAATAAGTTACTTACTTTTGAATTGTTTGTTCAAGACTCTTTTGCATTGAATTCTCATCATTTGTCTCAATTGTATTATTCACTTTGTCTAAGAATGCCTGAAAAGAAATGAACAAATGCATGAAAAATAACTGGATACTTCACATTAATGTGAGGTACATTTGTCAGAGTGAAGACGTGTAACATCTATCTGATCGCCTTTATCGTGCCATAAAGGTGGATGTAGACTACCTGTGTTTGATCCTCGAGACGCTAAGAATCAATGACTGAAAGCCGTTCTCAGTAACACAGAGGATTAAACCCTCATGTTCTTATATATTACCATTGTTTCTCTCACATATTTCTGCCCAGTAAAGTTCTACTTTCTCTCTACCTTTGCGTGCAATATGAAATGCCGTATGTTTAATAGATGGACATCTATGGAAAGTTCTTTGTTGAAAGTCAGTCAACAGACTCTGAAATCATCGATGAGGAAAGCATCAGGTGACATTGTGTGCCAGGCCGTCGTTCGAGTTGAACCCGAGTGAAGAGTGACAAGTTGGCTGTCGCTTCAAGGCTGACGTAGAGGAGATCACATGAGAAGGAGAATGACTGGTTTCAACATAGAACTTTGCACTGATGTGCAGCAGGTCGAGTCTCCACACTACACTCAGCATACAAAGCAAGAGAAGAAAGTAAAAAGAAATGCAAAACAGAGACAGTAAACAGGGGTATGAGACAAAAGGAATAGTAATAACGAAGAACCATGCAGTTAATTATAAATGTTAAGTCACAAGGAGTGGATGCATCTGCACTAGCCATATCACCAATTATCTCCAGCCACTGGTGTTTAACATCCGAGGACCCGAACCAGGAAGTCTACATCTATCTACGTGGCTTAGACTAACTGTTGTGGATTTGATTGAATGATGAAGCCACCATTGGCTCTTTTCTTATGTCAGTCAGCTAACATCGCCTGTTGTCGAGGGAGGCCATGGTTAGGGATGCATGCGTAACACATGTTTTAACCAGCCTCGTCGATTGATTTCCCCTCCCATCTACCTAGCACTCACTGGACGGATGCCTAACCTCAATATTGCTCACCCTATTAAACCACTTCACATGGGAGATAGAAAGTAGGGACCTATGACCAAAGACAGCTAGCCAAGCTTTTCGTGTCTTCCACCCTCAATGGCCATGTCTCACTCACATCCATAAAGGAGGACAAAGTGGACTGCTGAGCATTACACACGTCCTTTGGTCGATAGCCGGATATAGCGTCTACGCTAGAGACGGAGTAAACTGGCATATGCAAAACAAACCTTCTGTATCCATGGTGACATTTCGTCAGCGATCAACCCTGTGAAGCTGGCTGATACAACTTCCAAATAAGTGAAGTGGTCAACACGCTCTACCACTTCAACCCCTATTTCTAAACTAGGAGTCAGTGTAGTGCAGTCCTGTAACATCATCTTACATTTGACAACGGGGGCGAATCGCATGCCAAACATTAGCAGATTGCAGCTCAAGATGTTCAGAAGGCTCTGCTCTATTTTGTCAGCATCTTCACCTAAACAGACTATATCATCCACATGCATATTCTAAGTCAATGAGACTATTATTTCCTGGTAATAAGTCAATCACTTAGTCGCTGAAGTCACTTAGGGTTAATTCCACTAGTACATCTATGATGAAATTGAATAGAAATGGGGATAGTGGGCATCCCTGACGGACACCACTAGTTGTTACCACTTCAGATGACAACTCGCTCTCACCTGGTTGTATGAATTCGAGTAGAGTGCCTTGATCAATGCAATGTATTTTCTCGGCATTCCCTTTACAGCCAAGCATCGCCAGAGTACCTCTCGGTCGACAGAATCGAATGCCGCCTTTAGGTCAAGAAATATAACGATTGTTGGACGCCGGTAGGAATGCCTATGTTCGAGAATCTGTCGAAGGGTGAAGATATGATCAATACACCCTCTTCCTCGTCTAAAGCCAAGCTGGTTCTTCCGTGTTTGTGCCTCCCGGGCAACGCTTAGTCTACGCATTATAAATGAATCTAGAACTTTGGATACCATATTAGTCAAGCTAAACCCCCTGTGATTATCACAGGAAGACTTGTCTCCCTTCTTGTATATGGGGATAATCAATGACTTAAACCAACCCGACGGAACTTCCTCTGATTCCCAGACGTTCCCTAGTACCTCAGTTAACGCAGACAGTAAACTATCTCCACTGTATTTAAATACTTCTGGAGTCATTCCATCAGGAGATGAAAGCTTGCGGACAATAGTGGAGCTAGATAAGGAGAACTCCATTGAACAGGATGCAGTAAAGATGGGCTGTTGATGCCCTATGTTCCACTTGTGACACAAGGAAACAATAAGAAAATATTCCATATCAGAAACTAGTATCGGTAAAATGACCAACAGAAAGCAAATGAAGCAAGCCTGTCAGTTAGTCAGGGTCCGTTAACAAAAATACAAAACCTTCGTTACTTACTGTATTCTTATTCACCTTTGATATTTTCTTCCAGTGTGGTTGATACAGTCTGGAACGAAATATCCCTGTCAACTTTGGCTCTAAATCAGCTAACCAATAAACTTGTTGTGAGATTAACCGTTGAACAGCACTTCGTCTAACATTTTCAATATCGCCAACAGCTAAACCAATCTATGAGAATTAGAGAGAAATTAGATGATTTTTGTTATAATAAATGCTACTATGGATTTTTGGGTTCGATAGCCAGAGTGGAAATAAAGTTACACGAATGAAGACTAAATTTCAAGAACACTGACAACCAATCACTATTGACCCACACAGCTCACACGATTAAAGACAAAAGACAGGCTGGTTTGAACCGATGTGACAATTCCTTTCTGGATCTTACTTGTAAATAATTTTATAAGACGACTCTAGTGGAGCTGCACGGTCTAAGTTCACAAGTTGTTGGAGAATTGAGCAAGATAATGTTCAGCACTGCGCTTTTGATGCATTTGTAAAGTGTGTGTGCTTTGTCCAACCAATATAACTAGCTCTACAGGAGCAAGTGGATTTATAAACACACAGTGAAGTCATCCCAAGCATCATCTTATCCTTCACGCATTCACTGATCATTTATACACTGCAGAAAATGATCTGTAGCTCTACCGAAAAGACCGCTACTTCTCCGCGATCTGGATAAGCGGCTTTTCAGACTCGTAGACACACTTTTATCTTTAAATCCAAGATTCATAAATGTCAATTTCTTCGACACCGTTTGTATGAATCCTGCCTTTTGCTATACTTTCATGTTTTTCTGCATGAATCTTTTAATGAGGACCTGATTAAATCTCTCTAGTTCACCACTGATTTTACCACTGTACCTAGACTTGAAAATAAGCAGTCTATTGGATTTCTATATAGCGAAAATATTCACTCAGACATATCTATTAACAACACAAAATAATTGAGGAAAAAAGAAAAATACCCCCCAGTCGATAATTTCCTCTTCTGACTCTACAATTAGATATCTGTGTGTTTATATACATAGAATATTCTAGATTAGTAGTCAATAAAAATATGAGTCTTTTTTAAATAATATCGATTTGTAAAGTAAGATCGCAATGGAATTACAGTTCATTAAAGATGCTTAAATTATAATAATAATAATAATAATAAAGATATAGTAGTAAATAGAATATCAATTAAAATTAGGAAAATTCCACAAAAATTAAGGATCATTCAAACCTAGATGGCCAAGGTAAGGACAATGTCTGAACCAACCAGCTTCTTTTGGACGCACAAATTAGGCTTCTTAATATGGATGCCAACAGCCGACCTCAGTGATATGTAAAAGTCGAACTCTTAAGGCGAAATCGAGATTTGTTGGTATGACGTGAATGACTTGAAAGTCGCCTCGTTGACATCAATCTTGTGTTCTGTATCCACAAGATGAGACAGAATAGCGCTAAAAATAGATTTTGTTTGTCCTTTACTCAACCAACCACTCATTGTGATGTTCGGAAACACGCCTAGTCGTACTGCCTATGCAACAAACTGGCTCCACAGGAGCAGTTAAATTGAGAAAGTAAAAGACTCTAGTATTTCATTTCTAGACGTCCTTATGACCAGAAAAGAGGATGGGGCAATAAGAAGAAGTGAATATAGAAAACATACATCAACTGACTGTAGGTATACTCGTTTTTTCAGCTTCGTGCCCTTGAAATAAAAACGCAATCTAATAAATTACTTGGTTCACAGAGAAAGAGCAATCTACTCAGGTGAAAGTGTTGATGAGGAACTTTATTATATCAAACAGTTGCTGAGTGAAAATGGTTATCCAGGAAAATCCACTGATAACAATATGAATCCAAAATCAAAGCAGCTTAAGGTACCAACAGTTCTAAAGAAGGCCTTATTCTTAGAAATGCAGTCCCTTGGGGATAACATCAGCGAGATACTAACACAGCGTCTTAGAAATGCGCCCTGCTGCTGAATGACGCTGTGTCTTCGAAACCACCCTTATTTTGCGTTCGGGAGTAAAAGACAAACTGCTTAATTTCGCCTCTTCTATGTGTGTATCTACGAATTTAACTGTTCCTGTGAAACCAGTTAGTTGCATAGGCCGCACAATTAGGCGTGTTTCTCGTCGAATTTCCGAACATCACCTTGTGTGGCTGGTTAAGGTAAGAAAAAACAAAATCCAGTCGTAGCACTATTCTATCTCATCTTGTGGATACAGAACACAAAATCGATGTCAATGAGGCGACTTTCAAATTCGTTTACCGCATATCAACAAATCTCAATTTCGCCTTAAGAGCTCGACTTCTACATATCACTGAGGTCGGCTGTTGGCATCCATATTAAGAAGCCTAATTTGTGCGTTCAAAAGAAGCTGGTTGGTTCAGACATTGTCCTTACCTTGGCCATCTAGGTTTGAATAATCCTTAATTTTTGTGGAATTTTCCTAATTTTAGTTGACATTCTATTTGTTATTCTATTTTTATTATTATTATAATCTTACTTTACAAATCGATATTATTTGAAGAACACTCATATTGTTATTGACTACTAATCTAGAATATTCAATGTATATAAACATACAGATATAATTGTAGACCTGGAAGAGGAAATTATCGAAACGCATATTCTTCTTTGGTCAACTATTTTGTATTTTCTAGATGTCTGAATGAATATTTTCGCTATATAAAAGAATTTCTAAACCAAAAATACACATTCTGCAAAATTTATCAACTTACCAATAAATTCATAAGTATAATCGGGACCAGAAATACAAATGTTGTATAAAAAACAAATGTGATTATCGGATAGTGTAATTTCAAGGAAGTTTTACCAGTTAACGGTTGTATCACAGTCGCCGTGTGCTCATATTCACCTAACATCATCATCAAGGTTTTAAATAACGATAAACCCAAATACTGGAATGGTTGTAATTCTAATGAGATTGACGGATCTGTTTGATTACTGCTTGAAATATCATTGAATATTGAAAAGCATTCATTGATAATTGAATCTTTGAATTCAATGGAAGTTTTATTTTCCTAAATTGAAAGAAAGTAAATATATTTAGTCTACGCAATATTATTGAGCCTAGAAATTTAGATACCATATTAGTCAGGCTAATTCCCCTGTGATTATCACAGGAGGACTTGTCTCCCTTCTTGTATATGGGGATAATCAGTGACTTACACCAACCCGTCGGGACTTCCTCTGATTCCCAGACTCACACTACAAGAAAATGGATATCCACAGAGCTTCCTAAAAAAGTATATGTCAATACCTACAGACAGGGTAAAGGTGGATACCGTAGACAAAAAACCTTTGTATCGTAAGTTACAAAGGGGAAATTGCAGCTGACATTCTAAAATGCCGACTTAATAGAGCAGTAGATAGAACATTTCCTGCAGCCAAACTGGTACTCAACTTCTCAACTAAACCAGTACTCACACAGAAAGTCAAGGATAAATTATCAAAGATGGCCTCATCAATGTGCATCTATGAATTCAACTGCTCATGTGGAGCTAGTTACATTGGCCGTACTCAGAGGGCTTTATCCATGCGCGTGTGAACATGTACCTGTATGGTTAGGTAAAGGGGTAACCAAATGCGTAAATAATGCAGTCTTAGCACACTTGATAGATACTGGACACCAGATAAAACTTGACCAGGCTTTCTCAGTCATTTACCGCGTTCCTATTAATTTATCTAGAGGAGCTCAACTACGTCTTTTATCAGTAGCTGAAGCGGTGGCAATTAATACCAGAAGACCATCTCTTTGCATACAGAAGAAGTATGTTCAACCGCTATTTTTACCTAAGCCTACAATAAAGTCAACAAATCCTCCATTAACACTGTAAATTCCTTTCACAATTTTCTTTTCTTTTCTTCTTCTTCTATTCCTTTGTTTCATTGACAAACATTCATTTTCGACTTTTATGATTTCATGACCTTTCTTATGATTTTATTACCTTAGGTTTAAGTAGTGCTTTTCTAACTTGCTATCGTATTTACAAAATCCTGTTCATTCCACTTCATTATATTCATTTTTATTATTTGACAATCATTCACCAATAGTGGTTGTAATTTTACACCATATCATCGTTATTATTTTACAATCATTCTTATTGTCGTTATTTTCAACCTTGAACTTATGTTTATTTTCATCTTGTCTCACACACCCTGATTACACTCACTCTCGAAACCTGTATTTTCTGTTGACTATATTTATGTATATATATACAAACACATCATTAAATTAAGTTAAATTACTTCATCTCATTTTGTCCCATGTTCTCATTGACCATGTATATTAAAAAACTAACTGACTATTGTTACATCCCATCTTATACTTGTTCCACAATACACTGTCTGATATCATTCTAATTCGCCTTTACTGGCTATTGTATACTTAAATTAATTGATTTATAATTGTACAGCCTGAAGAAGAATATTTTGTTCCGAATAAATTATGGGAATATACATTTTACTGAAATATATTTAATTCAATTTTAGATTTTCTCGTCGATTGATTGATTAGACCGAATTGCTGTGTCTCAGGTTGACATGTCGGCTTCTTGTGCAGATGCTTCGAAGATGTTTGGGCATGTAATTAGTAGTGAACTGGTGTATGGTGACTAGCAGTGACGAAGTCCAGGATACGGAATGCGGGTACATCCAGCCACCAACGAGTCCCAAATAGGATGAAATGCGCTTTATCCTGGATTCCACTGCTACTAGTCACTATCCACCAATTCACTTCTAAAGTAAATAAGTATTTATAAAAAGAAAAGCAAAACGTTTGTGGTGTTTGAAACACCAGGGAAACAAACCTTTGATTAATAGAGAAGATTTGTAGCTCAGGTGAATGATTTGTAATTAGTAGTGTTCTCTCTGCTGGTTGGTTTAGTTGTGGAGCTTCCTTCATCCCCCTGCTAGACAACATCCCCTTCCAGAGCAATTTTTAGCATAAAGTGAACTGATTTAAATTTTCCATGAATGGTGATAGAATTGCGTCTCCCGGTAACCATCTTCGTGACATCTGTATTAATCATTTTTATTATTGACTTGCATTTTGAACTTTCTCGTCACATGTGATTTACTTTTTATGAGCAACTGGTAGATTTGGTCTATATTAACATGTTTGTCAGTCGCTGACTGATTCATTTGAGTACCAGGTTTCTAGGAATTCCTTGACTGTTCTATTTGTATTTCCTCAGTTTAAAATTCCGATATTTTCCCAGTCAAATTGATGTCCATAATTATCTGTGTGCATTGATATGAAAGAATATATATTATGTATTTTCACAGCTAATTTGTGTTCCTGGGTTCTGATTCGTAGGGGACGTCGGCTTTGGCGTTGTCTAATTCTGCTTCTCTCGTGGTGAATTTGTTGCCTTCAGATATGTTGTTTATTAATTTGTGAGTATATTCCAAACCATTTCTTTTGATTACTACAAATGGATCATCAACGTAACCTACTCAGAATTTTGGTTTAATTATAGGTAGAGCTATTAATTCTAATCTTTGCATAACGGCTTCAGCTATCAATCCTGATATGGGCGATCCCATTGGTGTTCCTTTTATCTGTTCATATATTTGAGTATTGAAGTGGAAGTATGTTGTAAGGCATAATTCCATGAGTTCTATCCAAGTTGAACTGTATGAACTGTAACAGACATTACATCAGCCAAAGTGGACATCCCCTTCGAATCAGAAGACACAGGAGACGCAATTCTATCACTCGTGGAAAATTCAAATCAGTTCGCTTTATGCTAAAAATTGCGCTGAAAGGGGTTATTTTTTTTGGTTGCAGCTTGATGCCACACCGTATTTTCAGCACAAGTATGGAATTTTCAGCATGGATATCGGTAGCCCAAATTTTGCAGGCCAATCATAGATATCGGGTGTGCGTCGGCAGGGGATCGAACGCCGGACCATGTGCATGGTCGGCGAGAGTCCTAACCACTGTGCCATTGACGCACAGCAGGGGGACGACGAAAGCTCCACAATTAAACCAACCAACTGAGAGAACACTACTTATCGCAAACTTTTGTTTATTTCAGCTGAATAATTATTTACGTGGAAGATATGAAATACACGTGTGTAGAGAGCGGGATTTTAGGAAAAGGAAAGGTGACAAGTTTGAAGATCTCACGATGGCATCCAGTGGTTTCAAGCAGCCTTGGGTCATTTCGTTGTATAAATGGGGTTGCCCATTGTGACTGATAAAGTTATTTTTGTTTAGCAATATGAATCTATGACTTCATTATAGATTCTTATAGATTGTCGTCGTTGTATGCTCTAGAACATGATCAGCCATGGGATCTCGATCAATTTTAGAAGAGATGTCAAGATCCTTGAATTTACTGATAGCCAGTAGACTGTGATAAAGAATCATCTGATTCAGGAGACAATAGTCTTCAAGCTTATTCACTTACTACCGGTTGTTAGTCGTGAGGAACCGCCTGACCGATAAGCCTTCTACTATTGAACCATTAGTTGTAATAGTCGTAGAAGGATTCTAAGGATGTATATGAGCGAATGATTCAACATAAATATAAATTATTGTACAACTATAAGTTGATTAAACTCACCGAATAGTTCGGAGCACGAAAAAGTACATGAAATGACAGTGCAAAGGCTACAAACACTACGGAGAAGACGACTAAACACTTGCCGACAGTTGCAAACACATGCAGAAACATAACGACAAATATACCAATATGCTTAAATCTGTAAAAGATGAATGAAACAGCGGTTTAAATACAATAACATCAATATATATATATATAAATCACTAGGTAGCAGCCGGTGTGACGCACCTAATCAAGGACGAGACTCATGATGCTGATTGTTACCTATTGCTATTGATTAAAATATCCATTACCGTCCTACAAGAGGTGAATTGTGAGTCCAAATAACTCAGTGACAACGTCGCTGACTGAATCATTGGATTATCCGAGTTCGAATTCCGGGCGGGGAGTTGGGGTTGGGCAGGAATCCTTTAAGATTGTAGATCCAAGTATTAATAAGAATGAAATCTGGGTCTTTCAGGGATTCCTAAAGATTGCTTTCATCTGGATACGTTATGTTGATGATACATTTGTAATAATTAAAAGAAATGTGATTTGGAATAAACTCACAAAGAAATTAAATTAACAAGAGAAGTAGAACTAAAAAACAAAACTCCATTCTTAGACGTCTTAATCAAGGGAACTAACACAAGAAATTCAGGAACACAAGTATTTAGAAAATCAATGCACACAGAGCAAATACTCAATTATAGTAGTAATATGGATGGCGTTATTAGAAGACGGAGATTATCTGAAAGGCAGTGTGATATATTTGTACAATACATTTCAAACAATCTGACCACGCACACATTTACTTGTCAAGTCGATATATATGAAAAAATTAAATTTAACAAAGTGACAAAAAAAAAAAGATTTAAGAATGATTAAAACAATGTTTGGTAATCTAATCGAATAAGGATTACCAAGGTAGGTTAAGAGTAATAATAAACTTAAAACAATTAGTCCCTTTGATAAATTTGAATAAGGCATTTAGAAGACAAATTTGGCGAGATGATGGCATCATTTCGTAGTGTCTTTACAACCGCTTTACAACTAACATGGTTAACAATAATAAAATAAAATAAAGATCATGACAATTACTCAATTAAATAAAAAACAAAAGTACATACTAATGACCAATCATCACATTTAAATAGGTCAGGTAGTCAGTCCATGGCAGGTGAAGATTGAAGTCTATTGTTTTTTGTACACACAGTTTAGGCTGTATGTGATGAATCCAAAGTGCTTCCATCACCTTCAATAACAAGCCCTGAATTACAGTTAACTGATTAGATAATTGTGAAACAGTCACATAACTTTAATTCAATGTTATTGAAGGTGATGGAAGCACTTTGGATTCATCACATACAGCCTAAACTGTGTGTACAAAAAACAATAGACTTCAATCTTCACCTGCCATGGACTGACTACCTGACCTATTTAAATGTGATGATTGGTCATTAGTATGTACTTTTGTTTTTTATTTAATTGAGTAATTGTCATGATCTTTATTTTATTTTATTATTGTTAACCATGTTAGTTGTAAAGCGGTTGTAAAGACACTACGAAATGATGCCATCATCTCGCGAAAATAGTGTGGAATGTGACATAACCATATGGCAGTAATAACCGAATTACACACAAAAGAAACTGTGTGCAGACATTGTTTAAAAGAGTTCAAACAAACTGTAGCACTCCTGCGTTGAAGAGAATGGAGGAAAAGTACCTACTAACCGTCTTCAAAAAGAATGGATTTCCTCACAATTTCATCAAAAAGTGTTTAAACTCGAGTCACAGCACCAATAACGAGCCACAATCAAGGACCTCAAGATAATTCACTCAGCCGCATATAAAAAATATCTCTGAAATGACAGTTCGAATATTAAAGCCATTTGAAATGGATATAGCACACAAGCCAGCTAGCCAGCACAATCAGCATTTCATTGGATATTGTGCAAACCAAAAGATCCATCCAGCAGAAAAAGAAGATAAAATTAATACCATTTACAAAGTAAATTGCATGTGTAAGAGTGGTTAATGGACTGCAATAAACATTACATCGGTCAAAGTGGGCATACCACCCTTGGAACCTGAATCCAAGAACACAAATTGGCTGTAAAAAGACATGATATATATTCTCTCATATCAATGCGTGTGGATAATTATGGACACCAATTCAATTGGGACAACGTAGAAATTTTAGATCAAGGAAACACCGAAACTGCAGTCAGGGAATTCCTAGAAGCCTGCCTGGTAATCAAGCGAATCAGCCAGCAATTAACAAACACATTATTATAGGCGAAATTCACTAACTAATAAAAATCAAATCACATAACAGGAAAGTTCAAATTCCAATTCAATAAAAATGCGATTAAAAGAGACGTAAATTAACAAACAACCAGTCACGACAGTGGTTGCCAGAAGACACAAATAAATATCATTCATGGAGAATTCAAATGAGTTCATACCATACTAAGACCTGTACAGAAGTAGGATGTTATCTAGCAGTAGGACGATGAAAGCTTCGCAATTAAACAATCAGCCAGCTCCACAGTGAACACAACTAATTCAAAGTCAACCACCTGAGCTACAAATCTCCTTTATTACAATATATATGGCTCAGAAAGGCAGACCGTAGAGAAATTAATCCCTATTTATTGCAACATACAGTAGATAAGGTCGACGCAGTTTCTGATTCATCCTTTGACATAGTCTAAAGGACCCATTTAAACTTTATCAAAAAGGACACGACTGCATCTGCTTTGTATATAACAGAAGCTTCGGCGGTGCATAAAATTATTTTTGAGAACTTTGTATACAAAAACAAATTGGTACCATCTTTTCCGTTACTATAGTCTTAATTTCCCCACTGGATACACAAAAGCGTTTGATTCCTCATTACTCCATGTTGTCGCGTCTTTCTTTTGTTTTGTATTATTACACTTTATGTCATCACACTCTAGCACACTGGGTCCGGTGTGAGGAAAACTACTTCTCAGTGACCCTTGTTGCCGCTGTATTTCGTGAATTGACACAAGTTAAAATTCATGAACCGGCCATCCGAGCAGTTTATCGGTCGGTTGGCTTGCCTCGTTATCTGAAGGTGTTAACTTTCATCCTCATTGATTGTGGCCATAAGTGCGTGCTGCTACCGAAGAGTCTTAAACCAGGGAGAAACAGCCATGCCGTACTCTTTGGTTTTCAATAGTTTTTCTAATCGATATCATCCTGTAATCAAATATGGAACTAGTCAATTCTCCACAAATTAGCGACTGAAAACTGATCACATTTGAACTTGATAAATTCACATATTCACATATTCAAATGTACTTTAGCATTATGCTCCACTGATGAGTACCAGGAAGTGCAAAACCTAGATGGAGGACTATTTGTAATTGTCTCTAACTGTCTAAGATAAAGGGTATAATCTATCAGCTGTCTGTGAAATGTCTTTGACGTAGTATAAGATAATTCTCTCAGTTAGTCAACCCAAAGGGGAATTACTGTTTATTCCGTGGATTAACAGTTATTGGCCTCCCCCGAAGTGTTTTCCTGGTTCTAAGAGCCAATCAGATGGAAAACTAAGTCAATCAAACTGAGCTCCATCAGAAGAAACCATCGCTTCGTATGAACTATGTAGTGTTTAGAGAATTAGGTTAAGTTTCAGTGGGCAATCTGTTGGAAATAAATCATGTAGTTGAATCATCTTCATACTAGTTCTTAGAGGTAGATCGTCACACAGCTCTGAAGTACTCTATTTCTGTGTACTATGGCTAAAATCCTTCTGGATTCACGCATCATCTAGGCTTAATAAGAGTTGATTTGTAAGGATTAGATTTGTTTTTACGAGTTCGACCACGGATTGATATCAGTTAGAGAACCATTGAGAGAATAAAGAATGCGCTGGATACAAAACTCCGCCAGCCCGGAACAAGCTGGATTCAGGAATGGCAAATCATCCACTGACCAAGTTGCAAATCTACGCATCATCATCGAACACAGTAGAGAATGGCAGTCAAACCTCTTTCCACCTCAACTTCAATGACTTCGAAAAAACCTTTGACAGCGTAGATTGAGAAGAAATTTGGAAATTATTTTAAAACTACGGCGTAGCTCAAGTCTTTGTCAACCTCATTCAACAGTTGGCTATATGACAATGCTACCACCAGTCAGGTGATCCACAACGGAAAACTCAGCGAGGCATTCAAAGTGCATACAGAAGTAAGACAAGCTGGCTGGATGCTTGCCTATTATCACTGATGATGTACCTATTTGTGGCGGTGTGGAATATGCGTCAGACTGTGTGTTGAGAGCGAGAAGACAGGAATACGCTGGACGACTGATGAGAAGACACTAGAACACCTGAATTTCGTGTTTGGATGACAAAGACTTACCAGCGGATGAAAACAAACAAGCTGGCAGAAGAAGCAGGCAAACAGCGAAGATAGGACTACAGGTGAACATAGAGAAGACGGAGGTGATGAAGATAAGCAACCAACCGCAACTGCAGCAACAACAACCAGCACCAATCACCATCAACGGGAGAGATTTAGGAGAGGTTACTTCTTGGCTCCACTTATCTGGCCAGGAAGCACGGTTTCAATCACATGCATTCGAAACGGATGAAGATATCAAAGCTAGTCAGACAGACATAATCGGAAAGGCCAGATACGCCTTCATCAACCCGAAACAAGTTTGAACATCTTCTGCACTCACTCAGCCGGCCAGCATAAACAACAAGAATCGGATTTTCAAAATAAATGTAAAGTCAGTCACTTCTTCTATGCAGGTCAGACACTTGACGAGTGTGTCACGAAAATGATTTCCAACAGTCTGTTGCAGACTTTCATCAACAGTTGCCCCTTTCACTGCCTCCATACTGAAGATCAAATGGCCAGAAAGCATAAATAACAAGAAACTCTGGCTGGGAACAAACCAACAAGCGAGAGCTGATAGCTCAGCAAATATATGGGAGACAGTGGTGATAGATCGGGCATACACTGAGGAGGCCACCAAATAACATTGCGCGCAATGCAAGCCATTGCTCGAGTGGAATCCAAATGGGAAGGGATGAGTGGGTCGTCAGTCCTAGGGTGGCATGAAGGAGATCGTGTGAGGAAGAGATGAGAGAGTTTGGTGAATCGTGGACCCAGATGAAGAGGACGACAGAAAACAGAACGAAGTGGAGATGTGTTGTTGAAGCCGTGTGTTTCACTCGGAACGCAAGGGAATAATAATATTATAATAAGAGAATCACTGAAAACCAGGAAATGCTGCCGATGATTCCTAAACTAGGATGGATGAAACAGCAGTCCAGTACTCCCTGGTTTTCAGGGGTTCTCTAACTCATGTCAATCCGTGATCAAACTCGTATGAACCTTTCAAAAAGTGTCAGCTCACTTAAGATTACGCACGTATATACACATTTTACTGGCATGTATCGGGAGAAGCTTTTGTTAATACCTAGAGTTAAATTGAAGTGTATTAAAGCATCATTTCCCTTGGTTTTATGTCTATAGTGTGCGCCTAGTTGGAAAAATTTGAAAAATACTTGTTGAACTTTCATCAGCTCTGATACTGCTAGTCTCATGTCTAGCCTTCTCTCTTTTTCCAGACTAACTATTGGTTAGAAAACTCGGCGAGCTTTAAGAGTGCACCGACTGGAAATCGAACCCAGACAACGTGTGTATGTAAGTAAGTGTGGCTGGCGAGCATTTTACCACTGAACCACAGAGTTCCATTGGCCATGTGGTTAACAGACTCGCCTTGTATCATGAAGGTCCTGAAGGTTTTATCCCCCGCGGAGTCATGACTTGTGGAACTAGGAAATCGCAATAGCAATCGTAAGAATAAAACATCAATCACTTACCTCATCATTTGTAGTAGGAAATTAAACCATGCGAGGAACATGACAACCACTCCCAATGCAACATAATAATGATCTACATGATTCTTCAGCGTTAGTGCCGAGTACGTCATAGCTAAAGCATTCAGCAGGAATTCTAAATAATTATTCCAATCTCTGAAATATTCCCATTTCTGTGGTATGCAGAAAAGACAAAAGTAGGAGAAAAAATGATCAAGGATATTCTCAAGTAATCAATGAAATAATGATTAACAAGATGTATGAGTTACTTATATGTAAACGACTGAAAATAAGATATTGAGGAAATTTCTACAAAAAATTGAGGATTATTGGAAACTAGATGGCCAAGGCAAGGATAATGTCTGAATCAACCAGCTTCTTTTGGACGCACAATTTAGGCTTCTTAATATGGATCCCAACAGTCAGCCTCGGCAATATTTAGTAATTCAACTGTTAGGATTAAATTGAGAGTTGTTAGTATGCGGTAAATGACCCTGAAAGCCTGGTTAACATCAATCTTGTGTTCTGTATCCACAAGATGAGATAGAATAGCGGTGTGAACAGATTTTGTTTGTCCTTTACTTAACCAAACACTCAGGGTGATGTTCGGAAATCCGACGAGAAACATGCCTAATTGTACGGCCTATGTAACTAGCTCCACAGGAGCAGTGCTTGGTTCACAGAGAAAGAGCAATCTGCTCAGATGATTGTCTTGATGCGGAACTTAATAATATTAAACAGTTGCTGAGTGAAAATGGTTATCAAGAAAAGTTTATTGTTGAGAATATGAATCTAAAATCAAAGCAGCCCAAGGTACCAACAGTTCCTAAAAAGACCTTATTCTTACAAATGCAGTTTCTTGGGGATAACATCAGCGAGATACTAACACAGCGTTTTAGAAATGCGATAAAAACAGCATTTTCTGCTGCTGAATTACTCTGTGTCTTCGAAACCACTCCTCTTTTGCGTTCGTGAGTAGAAGATAAACTGCCTAATTTCGCCTCTACTATGTGTGTGTATCTACCCATTTAACTGCTCTTGTGGAGCCAGTTAGTTGCATAGGCCGTACAATTAGGCATGTTTCTCGTCAAATTTCCGAACATCACCTGCCTAGTTGGCTTAGTATAGGACAAACAAAATCTATTCTCAGCGCTATTCTATCCCATTTTGTGGACACAGAGCACAAGATTGATGTCAAAGAGGCGACTTTCAAAGTCATTTACCGCATACCAACAAATCTCAATTTCTCCTTAAGAGTTCGTCTACTAAGTATTGCTGAGGCCCGCTGTTGGGATTCACATTGAGAATCCTAATTTATATGTCGAGAAGAAGCTAGTTTAGATATTGTCCTTACCTTGGCCATCTAGATTTGAATGATCCTGCTTGAAGCCGTATGTTCCACTAGGAACGTATAGGAATAATACGTTCTTAATGGATTCATTGTCAGAGTCTCCTAGTGCTGATTATTTTTGTGACCAGGCCATCTGGTGATAAAAATTAGAAAGCCTTTTAGGAGTGCTTTTCGTGATGCGCCAAGTCTTTGAACCATATCCTAGAACTAACTTGGCATTAAGTTGAGAAATTTTGAATTTTTTCCCTCATGTTGAGTGTAGCATATATCCAGGCTGACTTTGGAGCAACATGAGTATGCTTGTTTTTTGGTTTTCTCATTGTGACTCACCTTGACACCCTCATCTGTGTCAGCTGACAGTATTTTAAACGATGCTACGAAGATTAGCGAAGGAAATAACTTCCACCAGTACTGAATAGTTGTTCCTATTCATATGAACTGTGATTAAGATTTGACCGGATAGTTGCAAAATAATTGAGAGCCGAGTGAGAAGTAGACATTTGTAAAAATTATATTTGTAAAATCTCAGCGAAATTGAAATGATTAATTCCAACGTTTCTTGTGTTCGGCAATCTGGTCCGAACTTCTTCACGGAAATTAATCGAAATAAAAATAACAAAGGTTTTCATATATAAAAGGCACATCTCTTGTTTTTCAAACTTTGTCCAATCATGAGTCATGAAACAGGCATTAACATGTATAATAAACAAAATTGCATGAACTGTAATCAAAATTTGACCTCAGACTTTCAAAATTAGTCTACTTTTGTTAAAATATATGTGTATATGCAGTGTATGATGGTGTGTGTTTGTGGGTGTGGGTGAACAGTCATAAAACATTTGTTATTCTCTTCATAAGAAGACGTAGACAGTCGGGAATTTTGACCAAGGATGATTAATTGTTGATACATATCCAATTTTTATTTTTATTAGTCAGGATTTGCCATGCATCAGCTAACATCACACCTTCACGTCTGTTCAAACTGTTGGGATTCACCCATATATATGGAGGGCTTCTGCAGTCAGTCTTTCTTTATATGAACCAGAACCTTTCTGTAGAACCTTAGTCTTAAACATGTTGATACCTGTTTCATGACTTATATGATTGGACAAAGTTTTTGAAAACAAGAGATGTCCTTTTATATATATAAACCCCTGTTATGTTAATTTCGATTAATTTCCGTGGAGAATTTCGGACCAGATTGCCGAAGGTAGGAAACGTTGGAATTAATCATTTCAATTTCGCTGAGATTTTACAAATATAATTTTTACAAGTTGTTGCTATTGTTGGTCGGTGGGTAAAGCGCGATACGTTAAGGACGTTATATTGGAAGCTGTACATAAATGAATTATTACAAAAGTACAGAGAATTCTTCTGAAGTTGGAATTACCTGAGAATACAACTGCCATAGTTTGATATTTAAATCCAAAGCTGTAAGAACAAGGATAATTGAAGCAACTGTTGAAAACAGGTACATTCTTGTCGGTGATTCATAAAACTAAATTCAGGTAAAAGAAAATGGAGGGAAAAAACAGCACAAACAAAATATTATCAATAAAACTCAGATATTTACTTTACTTTTGAAATATACTCACAAGTAGAACATGCCATAAACTTAGATAGTTGAAGGCAATTTGAAGACAGAAAAGCTCTGCCTTTATGCTTTTTTCAGCATAGTGTACCTGCAATCTTGATATATATTACTCTCTGAAGTTCGAAACTACATCACTCAGTACTGCAGTGATACAACTAGTAAAGCCCTGTCAACTGTAGGCTTTTAACAGAGGTTACTTCCTGGTTTCATTTACCTGGCAAGGAAGCACGATTTCAAGCACATGCAGTCAGACAGCACGGATGAAAATGTCGAAACCAGCTAGACAACCGGAATTAGAAAGGGCAAGATACGCATGCCTTCATCTATCTGAAACCAATTTGGAAATCTTCTGCACTCACTTAGCCAGCATAAACAACAAGATTCGAATTCTATTCAACACCAGTGTCAACTCGGTCCTTCTATATAGGTCAGAAACTTGCACTGTGTTCTTTTTCCATCCTTTCGGGGAGTTTTTCCTTCAGTGTCCTCTTTTGACACATTCAAAGCACTTGTCTTTCCTGACGCACATTCTGAGATGAGTTATTTCTTGCTGCGAATCTGCAATTTCTGGCTCGCACTGGTTCATTCCTGATGGCTCTGCTGTGGCTACCGTTGCGCTCAACAACTGTCTGGTCACCTTTGCTAGCTCACTAATATCTATGGTTTGTGCTGATTTAAGCGTTTCTTATCCGTTACCAAGTCTGGTGTCGTTTCCCATTACATCGTTAGCTCAGTTGTCAGTATGCTTACTCAGTAACCAAAAGGTCCTAAGTTCGATGTATGTTGGGATTGCTTGCTGAAAAGTATCAAACTGTGACGAAACAGGTGTAAAACCCATCTTGTTTTTTATTATTTTTATCAGTGTATTATAGCTTTTTATTGTTAATCGATAATCACGAAACAATGCAAATCTGAGTCGTTAGATTATTTTACAAACTTTCTCAAGTACATAGCAATCAACATTCCAGGTTGTATTGCAGTCGCCTTGCATAAAGACGTCATTTATGTTAGTATTTTTAAATTACTCTACCGCGTGTTAATAGAGCAAAAGATAAGTTATTATCCGTTCATATCCGTGGACATATTGCAGCTCCTAGTGTGGACGATTCATATAGATGTCTGAGGATTAGTTAACATCATGTTATTTCCATGGATGGTGGCTAGTAGTTGCCGAATCCAGGAGGATACGCTTCATCTTCATTTGCGAATCGTCAGATAGATGTGTACCTGCCATCCCTGGTGGGAGTGGTGGTTCCCGGCACCCACCCCCTCCTAATGAGATCTGAACCTAGCACCGATCGTTTTCCAAACACCCAAGTTAGATAAAATGCATATATATATATATATGAAATTATAATATTTCGCTGATGATAATTAAACTTACTAAATCAGAGCAAATGTTAATCTTGTTTGTATCATCCACGTGATGTACAGGATTATGTCCCAACACCAAACAGGTGATTGCGACCAACAGGACAGCATAGTAAATGCTTACGCATAATTGTACCCAACGTCCATAAATCTGCCTACATATATATTTGTTTGAAAGGAAAAATAGGTTAAGACTAAATCAGTACACAGTAAAAATGTTATTCTATTGTGGACAAAATTTATTTTGATAAAGGGGAAAATCTGAAACCCTACACAGGATTCTTAATATAAAGCAGGAATTTAGGTGGCATGTAAACCTACAAACTCACAGAGGTAGGACAAGCTGTGTAGGTTAAAGGACCCTGAACTTTGACCCAATTAGACAAAATAATATAATTTACAAAATACCTTGCAATGACTGTGAGAGTGAGGTCAACTACATAGGCCAGTCAAACTAGTAGATCGGAGGTAGTCAGACTGTCAGAATATAAGAATTTACCTAAGGTTAGAATGATTGATCTCACGAAGATAAGTGATTTAGAAAAGAACTCAGCAATTGCACTGCATGCATTAACATACAATCATAGAATAGGTTGGGAGAGGGTTAAAATTCTAAGAAGTGATATAGGTAGGTTAGTAGAGAGATGGAGATTGATTACTTAATCCTGCCTTCTACATCCAGTGTTCACGCCTGACACATGCAACAGAAGTGACTCTACGCAAATACCAGATATATAGGATGATATTATTACCAGTCAAATCAAGAGATGAGAAATAGTGGAAGCATGCAAACGAAGTAAGAAAGTTGTGTGAGTAGTGCCTTGATATGATTATGAGCAGTAATAAATTCTGCTCGAAACGTGGTCATCAGTAAATATTACTGTATAACAACACTGTGAGACTTTATCAAAATAAAAATTATCCACAATGGAATAATACTCTACCACAGTGTGCAAGTTCTATTCTTATATCAACGATAGTAAAAATTTTATTTAGTTAAACAATGAAGTCCCATTAATATAAGTATAAAACTTGGGCACTGTGGTAGAGCATAACTCCGCTATGGGTAAGATTTTATTTCGATAAATCACACAATGTTATACTGTAATATTTACTGACGACGTTTCGAGCACAAACTATTGCTCACAATCATATCATATCACGTGAAAAGGAGGGGTTCTGTCTTTGTCTGGCCTCGCTTTTTTACTTCAATACAGCTGAAGACACTATTAAATACCCGTCCAGATGTGAAGGAAGTTAATCAGAGCAGTCGATCCGGGTTTGACTGCCGACGGTCACGACAGCTTTTGAAACGACTATTCATCCACCCCTCAATCGGGCACATACACACCAACACAGACACGCACAGTGCTCTATACCACTGAGTACCACTCTCACACACCATCAACTCACTAGACAGTCACATACTGCTGGGTACTGGTTATCTAAAAATCACTCCCAAGAAAATGCTCTTTAGTACTGCTGTTAATTCAGATTTAAATGTCCTAGGGGGCATTGATACCTTAGTGATTGTGTAGAGCAAGTCAGCATTTACTCACAGCTTACTGAGATGGTAAGTCGCCTAGCCTAATAACCACATTTTAAACCTGACAGGTAGAGTTTAGTCAAAAAGGATCACATGACACTGATCACTATTCATCAGTCAATTAATGTTGTATACATTCATATGTTCGTTTTTTTTGACAATTTCAAACACATTTAAATAATCCTCCTACTTTATATTAAGGTATAGTAAAACAAAGTTATTATCATTATTACCATTTTCTTTCCAAATACGCCGTACAAAGTGGATGAATTAGTAATTCTTCACGTTTCAATTCGACCATCAACTGGAATAAAAAATTCAAAATAATGTCCTTGAGATAATTTTTTTAAAATCATTATTATTATTACTCCCTTGTGGTACTAGTGGAACATAGGGCTCCAACAATGCATCTCTACTTTCTTATATTCTCTACTGTCCTCTTTAGTTGGGCACACGATTGCCCATAGTCTCTCATCTCCTGCCCTCACAATTTCATCTATGTCGCCCTCGCACCGACGCCTCACTCGCCACTCTCCGTTGGGATTCCATTCAAGCTATGGCCTGGCTTGAGTGCGATGGTATTAGACTTCCTTCTCAGCGTATGCCCAATCCATCTCCATTTTCTCCTGTATATTTGTTGAGTTGTTGGTTCGGCAAAGTTCAGCAATAGCGTCCCAAGGGATGCGAACGCACGAGTGCCCTTCAGCCAACCAATCATAAAAATAAGTGACTTCTGCACAATGTATGAAAACACATTAAACTGGGTATCTTTCTCTGACATGACTTTACATCCTAGTTATAGTGAGGAGTATCAGTCGCTAAGTTAGACTAGTTTCTATACACCGAGGTGACTAAAGATCAGCTGTTTTTGCGAATCACTTACCTCTCTTATCCTGCTGTTTAGCGTTCCCCAAAAAACATTCGGTTGAATTACTATGGTTTCCAGTAAGAGGATAGACAACTACTTACCAGGAAAATGTGGATAAGAAAACAAATTAAAATAAATGACATCAACTCTAAATCTATCCCTAAGTGTAAACCAACTTTAATCCTCACCCTAACCTTAAACTTAACACCAACCCTAATTACAACCCTGATCCTAACCTTATCGAGCTATTAACACATTGTCCATACAGTACTTAAAAACGTGATCTAGGTGAAATTTGCTCCTTAGTTGGTTAATGGCGTTGATTTTTCATCTATGATAATGATAGGTGCCCTTAGCCAAGGACTAGTATGCGTTCAAGGTGATTGGAGCGTTTTCACTCCTGGGACGTTATTGCTGAACTTCACCATTGGTTCTCGGTCGGTTTGTTCTCATAGTTCCTTATTACTAATCCTTTCTGGTCAGCGATTAGATCTTCACTATGGAGACAGAGAACTCAAGTATTTATAAAAGTATGCAGTAGTCTGCAACAGACTTCGGGAGATACTTTTCGTGACGCGTTCGCCAAGTTTCTGACCCATAGAGAAACACTGATTGACTTAACATTTGTATTGACAATTTCGAATCTTGTCCTTTATGCTACTGAGTCATTGCAGAAGATTTCCAAAGTGGTTTCAGATTGATGAAGGTGCTTCTTGCCTTTCGGATACTGACTGACTAGTTTTGACATCTTCGTTAGTGCTGTCCGACTGCCTGTGATTGAAATGATGCTGACTGCCCAGAGAAGTGAAGGAAGTGACTTCAGTCAAATCTCTCCTGTTGATAATGACTGGTGCTGGTTATTGCTGCTATTGCCTGTTTGTCATCATCACCTCCGTCTTCTCTATGTTCACCTGGAGTCCTGTCTTTTCTTCTTTTTCGGCCATTTTGTTGGTTTCCATCTGTCTGTAAGCCTTCGAGTTTGTGTAGCATTAAAGATAAATCACCCACGTGCGAAATCCAGATCTTCTAGAGTCTTCTTGTCGGTGGTTCAGCGTACTCTTGTCTCCTCACTCTCCACACACACTGTGTGCCGCACAGTCCGGTCCACCACAGTTAGGAATATCATCGGTGATAATAGGCAGTCAGTCAGCCTTCTCTTACTTCGGCATTCACTTCGATCGCCCTGTTGAGTTTTCTGTTGTGGATCACCTGACACATAACATTGAATGAGGTTGATAAATATTCAGGGCAGTAAACGCCATAACGTTGACGTAGTTTCCAAATTACTTCTCGGTCAACACTATCGAAGGCCTTCTCGAAGTCAACATAGTTGAGGTACAGTTTTAACTGTCATTCTATGCTTTGTTATGTGATGATGATGATGATGATGCGTAGAGTCGCCTAGCTCGTCGGTGTTTTAGCCTGTCCCGAGCGCGTGAAAATAGAGAGGGCTGGGAGTGGGGTTAGTGACACAAGAAAAAATATATTAAAAAATCATTAGGAATTATGTAATACAAACTGGTCTTTATGTACCTCAAATAACTTTAATCAGACGTTTTTAAAAATTAAAAATTCATTATGAACTGAAAGAAACCCACAAAGCTACATGTTTGTAATAGTTCTAGACTTTCCAGCGGTACCCAACCATAATATAAACCTAGAACAGATCACTGAAGGCTTGTTTGTGTTCAGTGGATTAATTAAGTGGTCGTCTTATAACTATTCGAGCCTCAGTTTAAAGTTCATTTTTATGAACTCAGGGTTTTGAAGGCAATTAAAACTATACAGGTGTTTCTTCTCCATAGAGAATAATCATATATTAAAAATACACTACGCGTTTATCTTAAATTCTGTCAATTCAGAGAAGAAGTCATCAAGTTTTCTACTTCCCCTGAACTGATCATTGGATACCTAGATTAACATATATGCACTAACTGTCTAACTGACGGACTGACTGAAGTTCAGCATGGAACTTTGCACAGAAATAAAGCCAGTTTAGATTGTCACATTCCATAAGTTAGAGAAAGGGTATAAAATCCAGATTCAAAAGGACTATAATGATATTTTGATTTGACATTAGTCAGTAACTAGTGTAATGTGTGTATGTCTAGTCCTATCTTTAGTGCAAACTGAATTATATCAGTCAAGTTTGTAATGTAGCGACCATGCAGCTAGGTGGTTCGCTATCACGATGCACTGTGAATTGTTAATATCAGATAGTTGGAGGCAATCGGTAAGCAACCTCATCTGACCTGGGTTTCAAGCTAGTCGGCACTCGTCAGCAAAACGTACCTGCAACTGCCTTGAAGGAACTCATCTCCCTTATGAGATTCGAACCCTAGTCATTACAATAGTTACTGACTATCCTATGCAGTCATTCAGGAGGTCAATGGTGAACCCGAATAGCTCAGTGGTAACGTCTCTAACCACAGGCAGCACTGGGTGACACGGGTTCAAATCTCAGAAGTGACATGAGTTCCTTCAAGATTGCGCAGATGCACCTCGCTGACTGAGATTACATAGAATGAATACATCAGAGTCAATGAGAACAATTTTGGACCATATCATCAACAGTCTACATCTAGTGATTCTTAGAATCCCACGTAGTCTACACCTGCAAACGTGGATCAGAACCAACTACTAAAGAATTCACAGACTATTACCACGTTTTGATCTGATCTCCCATACTCTTGTCAGGCAACATTGCTTGACGGCGTTGGCGGAGAATTGGTTTTGTGCAAAACATGTCCTAGCCATCTTGATCAGTGTAGCTTCCTTTCCTCACCTAAATCTATAGACCCATTCTCAGTATTTCTCATCGTATTATACCACATAACATAGAAGATATAGGGTAGTTATTTGTGGTCAGAGAAACACAACAACTAGCCTTTACATATCTTCCACTTTGAGCGGTAGGATTTATCGCCAATCGTCTACTTTTAACACCTGAACAGTGTTTGTGCCCTACAAGTTTTGTTTGGCTGAAACGGTTTCTTGCAGTTGTCTGTAAAACTGCCAAGTTGTGAGCGTTGAAGCCAGCTACCTAGCTCAGGGTGGGGTGCATTTGTTCAGGAGGTGGTTTGTGGGGATTTGATCGGTTTCAGGATTTCATCATGAACTGACATCGAATAGAGGACCAGTGGAAAACCTGCAGGGAGTACTGCCAGACCGCTGTTTTGTCAGCCTAGTTTGGGACTCTTGAGCAGTACGCACCCACACTGCAGGGTTCAAATCGAAAACCTTCCGGTCGCAAGGCAAGCTAGTAGACCATTAAACCACTGTGACGCGAACCACTGGCCAGCCGGTGAATTCCAACTTCTGTCAACTTACAATATGACGTGACCACTGGAGAATGTCCTCACCCACTAGAGCCCAGGTAACGACCTACCTGAATAGGGCAAGTCACTAGGGAGCATCGGACTGATATTCAAGTGTTGGTTTGCTGGGATTTGATTTGATTCGATTGGTTTCAGGATTTCACCATGAAGTGACATCAGTTGGCAGAAGTTGGTATTTATGGACTGGAGATTGGATCGGATCCCAGTTACTTAATGGTCTACGACCTCGCTTGCCTTGTAATCAGAAGGTCATAGGTTCGAACCCAGCCGGCAGGTGCGTACTGATGAAGAGTCCAAAACTAGGCGAACGAAACAGCTGTCCAGTACTCCCTGACTGGCTTTCCAATGCTCCTCTAACCAATGTCAGTTCATGATGCAATCCACAAAAAACATTTATCAAAATAGCAGGAAAAAATCAAAGTGACAGGATGATTGTAGAATGTGAATAACGCTTACCTTTATACGTTTCATTGGATTGTCAGGTGGTTTTTCACGTGGTTTCATTGGTCTCTGGAGTATGCTGAAGTCATAAATTATCTAAAATTAAATCAAATTAAATTTAGTGAGTTGTAAATACAAAAGGACACGTCTTTATGTGAAATAAGTGTTATATGATAAGTTATTGGGGGACAGTGTCGATGGAAATCAACAGCTTGTTAGCATTTTGGAATATGTTAGAGAGACAAGAAGACTGTAAAAGATTAGGAGTTCGTGGACGACTTTTGTTTAATGTCAGACACAGCTGAAGATATGATGAAGATTTGTAGCTCAGGTGGATGAGTTTTGATGTAGTTGTGTTCTCTGAGCAGCTGGATGGTTGGTTTATTTGTGAAGCTTTCATTGCCCCAACACTAGACAACATCTTCAGCGCATTCACTCCAATTTAACGAAGTGAGCTTTTACATTTCTCCACGAGTTCACTATTAGTCATCTCTCCCGGTGGGTAACCAAGAACGTGACTCTCTGCTTGTTTCTGTGTGTTTCCACACCCTCTAGTCTACTTGTGGTATTGTAACTGATTGTTTCTTTGACTTGAACTTTGATCTTCAGTGTTTGTATGTGAGGTTTCCTTCTTATCGGTTGGTAAATTTTGTCTATCTCGATGTGTCTATTGATTGATGATTCACTGGAATACCAGTCAGGCTTCTAACAATTCTCCAGCATTCTTGGTGTTTCCTCTGTCTAATATTTGAACGTAACAACTGCGAAAACACTACATTGGTCACAGTGGACGTCCGCTTCGTCTTCGCATCCATGAACATAAACTAGTCGTCAAAAGACATGACATCCACTCTCTCACTCATATCGCCTCACTGGATACAGACAACCATGGACATCAATTCGACTGTGACAACCAGCGTTCAAATATTAGACATAGGAAACCCGAGAATGCTGGAGAATTTTTATGAACAGCTGGGAAAATACTGCTCTTAATACATTTAGTCCTACTCCAAAAATATGGTGGAGATATGTGGATGACACCTTCACAGTGTTGAAAACAGAACATATCTATAGCATCTTGACATAAACATAAACTCTTTGGTGAAGGGAATAAAATTTACATTTGAATCGGAAAATGAACAAGGAGAATTAGCCATGATGTTAGATTGTAAAATAAAACGAATAGAAGAAGGTAAACTGCTCACCAGGGTTTATAAAAACCAAAACAATCTGCTAATAGATATTTAGACTTCAATTCATCTCATCCGTTAACTGTTAGGACAGGCTTAGTTAAGTGTCTAACAAACCGAGCAGTAGCACTAGGTAGCACAAAAAGAGACCTAAACGATGACATGAAACAGATAGAAGAGGCGTTGGTGTTAAATAACTATCTTATAAAATTCATTAGGAAGATCAGAAAAGGCCAAAAACAAAATAAAAATAATGGCGAAACTAATAGTGATAACGTAAATAAGACAGAATATAAGTCATCCACTGTTATACCATATAAGGAGGGGACATCTGAAACCCTCCCTACGTAGGATTCTCAATAAAGTAGGAATTAGGGTGGCATTCAAACCTGCAAACTCACTCAGGGACAAGCTCTGTAGGTTAAAGTACCCGATGGACCCAATTAAACAAAATAATAAAATTTACAAAATACCTTGAGATAACTGTGAGGTCAACTATATAGGTCAAACTAGTAGATCAGGGTGATCAGATTGTCAGAACATAAGAATTTAGCTAAGGAAAGAATGGTTCACCACGAGAAGATAAGTAATTTAGAAAAAAGCTCGGTAATTGCACTGCATGCATTAACACAAAACCACACAATGGGGTGGGAGAGGGTTTAAATTCTAAGAAGTAATCTATGTAGGTGGAGAGAGAGGTTGATTACTGAATCTTGGTTCATCGAGTCTACACGCCCAACACTTGCAACAGAAATGACTCAATGGAAATACGAGAGATATGGAAGATACTATTACCACCAGTCAGGCAAATCAGAGGAGGATAATAAGTAATCTTAAAATTCTATTTCAATTCAAGTACATCACAACATTCTAACAAGTTGTTTATTATGACTATAAAAACACTCGTCGTCTTATTTCCCATCTGATTGTAATTGATTGATAACACTCATATTATTATTTCTGAATGTACATTATCCTATATTGATTTTTTATTCAAATATCTAATCATCAATTCCAAACATGTATATAAATGAAGGAAAAAGTTGTGTGAGTAGTGACTTGATATGATTATGAGCAGTAGCGATAGATTGTCCTCGAAACGTGGTCATCAGTTAATATTATTGTGTAACATTTTGTGACTTATCAAAATAAAATCCTATCCATAAAGGAGTTATACTCTACCACAGTGCCCAAGTTTTATACTTATATCAATAATATATTCTCTGTACTTGTCTTTCCCACGTTCATTGTTTGTTTTCTTGGCTTCTTCTAAACCTTCTTATTTTCATCTCATTACGCTTTCATTTTCTGAATGTTATTTTCCCCTCTTACTATAAACGCTTTGTCAAACTGAGTAGATGAGCAGGCACTGGTCTGCAAGTTTACCAATCATTGAATTCAGTAGCTAAAATAACTTTTGATAGGTTTCAGGGCTAACACGCATGAGCTGAATGAATACACAAGTGTAGAGACCCTGAGGAATAATTAACTAAAATTTCCAGTTAAGTAAACGCAGGGAAAAGAAGTTTAAAGCCTAACTTACCTCATGATCTAGGGTGTTTTTCGATCCAATCTCTTTGATACACTGATCTAAAACAATCTGTAAGTAAAAGAATAACAATTATGAGGAATCATTTTTTTAAAATTTTGACAAATTAATTTAGACAAAGCAATAAGAAGATGTAATTTATCTGTCTGAGTCGTGTGTAATGTTGTATTTGCATAACACATTTCGAACAATCTGATCACACTCCACGGACTTGTCATAGGAATGTGTTTATATGAAATTATTAAAGAGTTAAGAGGTAGGAAAATAGACTTAGGTCAAGTTAAAATGAGGACATATTGAAGGTGAAAATAACAATGAAGATGACTAAACCAAATAGCAGAGATAATAGTACATCTACCCTGGCTTGTATGGTATCAAAACAAAGTTTACTAATGAAGGTGGTTGTTTAGTGTGATGATGAATTGTTGCTTTGAAGGCATGAAGGTGGTTTCATTTTTCTAATTGCCAACTAAGGCTTCCACAAACTTTAGGATACGCCCTTCCCCAAACAGGTTTTAATGGATAGGTGTAAAAGATATGTGTAAACGTCACTTTTATGTCCTATCTCTATAATATGTTCCGGAATGGAGGAGCTAGGTCTCCTGTTCTCACCAATAATGAGTTCTGAAGATTCTATCTGTTTCTGGAGCCATTTAGGAATATGCTGTGAAGCCAGGCCTTCCATCGGTTAGCGAAGCATTGGAAAACTACTTGCGAGTACTGGATAGCTGTTTCGTCCTAGTTTGGGACTCTCATCTGATCGGATACTCACTAGCAACTGGCCCTATTCATACAGTTAACCTGGGGATAGGTGTTTTGTCAGCCTAGTTTTGCACTATTCATCAGTACGCACCCATCGCTAGCGTTCGAACCGAAGACCTTCTGTTTACAAGGTGAACTCGAAGAGCATTAAGCCACTAGGACCCGACCCAATGTCCAACCCATGAATTGCAACTTCTGCCAATTCACAACATAGTGCGACCGCCAGCCAATGTCTTTGGCGATTATCCAACCAATTTCGCTATCATGGTAACAACTCTGTTGTTTTATTCCGACTTATTTTTGTTTGTTGGCTCTTTTGCCTCTTTGTAACTATTTTATACCTTTCTTACTCTTATGTAATATCACATTTTCTCTCGGTTCTATGTATATCATGACAACAACTCTCACATGACATTATCTATCTCATGAAGTAACTCTATCATCCCTTTTTACCTCCTCTTGTGTATTGGTTAATATTAAACCACCATAAGTATGGCTAAATGCGTCAGTAGTTCAGCGGTAGAACATTCTCCAATTTCGCATGCGGTCCGGGGTTAGATTCCCCTGACTGACAAAACGTACAATGAATTGAAACCCCGAGGGTCCCGTTTGCTGCATCAAAAATGGCCTTCCAAAGACTAGCAAGAAAGAAGTCCCTTTGAGACCTATACTTTCGATGATCGACTCGCCTCAATATAGGGTTACCCGTTGGCTTGCGAAGAAGCTGGAACCCATTCATCGACAGCTAGCCGTGTACACCATGAAAGACTCATTTCATTTTGCCGAAAGTGTGAATCACATGACGTCATTTGATGTAACCTCCTTGTTCACAATGATCCCAATCAATGAAACCATTGAGGTCATTTGTCAACAGTCTGATCTTCTCCCACTACCAGAGTCAGAATTCAAACGCCTACTGCTAATGTGTACCATGAGTGTACAATTCCAGTTCGACAACACTCTTTACCGACAAATAGATGGTGTAGCTATTGGTTGTCCACTTAGCTTTATTTTAGCAGATATCTTCAGGTGAAATATTGAGAAAACAAAGTTGAAGCATGCAATTGACGAAACAACTTCCTATTGTCGATAGGTCGATGACACATTTGTAGTGTGTAACAATGAAAGTTATGCTTCCTACCTACTCAGATTATTCAACGACGCACATACAAACATTGAATTTGCTATTAAACATGAAAATGATGGAAAGTTCTACTTCCTCGACATTGCCATGCAACGCTTAGAAGACGGTAGTCTTCGGAAGTCAATTTACCGAAAGCTGACATGGAATGGACACTACATACATTTTAATAGTTTTGTCCAAACAGCTAGCTATAAACGAGCACTAGTCAAGAATCTGTACTAGAGAGCGAGGAGGATATCCTCTGCAGAGAAATTAGAGGAAGAATTTACGACTCTCGAAAAGGTGTTGAGGAACGATTAGCCCCAAAGGTTCATTAACAAGCACAGAAGATCTGAAGTCTCAAATGTCAAACAAATCACAGTCGAGGAAAAGCCTGTCTTCATTCAACTCGATTTTAAAGGTGAAAACATTGTAGCAATGGTCAACAGAAAACTGAATACATCAATATCCAGGAAATATCCTACACTTAAGTTGGTTCTCGTCTATCGAACAACATGCTTCTTGGTGTAGTCAAAAGTCGACAGATAACCTTCTCATGTTAGCAGCTTCAACTGTGTATACGAATTTGAATGTATCTGCAGGAGTACTTACACTGGGAGAACAGAAAGGAGAGCACAAACACCTCCAATTTTCTGAACATGTGCCGAAAAGCCTATGTTTCAAGGAAACAAATGCTTGCAATAGAGCCACTACCAGACATCTCCTCGATACGGGTCATGAGGTGGGTGGAAATAGCAAAATCTTTTAAAATTATCAGTAGACAAAGGAGGCTCAATTCTCCTCAAATTTGCTGAAGCAATGTCTATCAAACGCTTGAAACCAGATTTATGTGTTCAGAAAGAAGCAGTTATCAACAGTTTTCTTTCCTTATCCATCCTGGTAACTGAATGTCTTTATTCCCTCGCTTTCATCTGATTACTCAATCTCTGGCTTTAACCTCACTTCGCCTTTTGATATAGTGTAATTTCGCTTGTCTCTTGTTTCTATGATTAGAGTTGAACTCAGTACATTGTTGCCCAATTTATTAGTCACTCAGCATCTTACACATCTCTCGTCTTTATTACGTAACTCCTTCACCATTGTATGCATTCATTTAGTTTGTTTAAACTTGAACTGCCTGTATAAAAACTAAATATATAAGTGTGATTTCCTGAGTACTGTTCACTAATTGTAGAACCTTCTGTCAACTGACGTCACGTAAAATTTGCAAGTATAGTAAAACTTTTCTGTACATGAACTTAATAGTAATAATTATTTATACAGGCTGTAAGCAGCTGAGGTGATGAGAAGCCAACGAAATAGACAATGGTAGTACCATCTTCTTATTCAGCACAAACCAGTGTTATTCTTGTTTTATTCAGATTCGTAAGGGAGAAGAAATACATGAAGTTTTTCACATATATTATTTTCTGTGTCGACTTCATTGATTCTATGTGATCAGTCAAGAATTGTCAGAAAAATGGGCATGTTTTATGACACTTTTTAAGAACTTACTCCACACATAGATGGCATATCTCGTATGAATCCATCCACTGGGCACTGTGATGTATTGTCTAACATTCCATGGAGTTCTGGCCAACTGTAAAATAAATTTTTCAAAAAAAAAAACTAAAAGCCATTACTCATTATATCAAATGTGTGTTTTCGGTGTTGTCATGTTCTATTCTCAGCCGGATAAGTTAATCATGAAAACATCTTTATCCACAAGTTTAGTGTGAAGTGAACTTTGGAAATTCTCCAAGGATGAAATATAACAGTCTTTTCCGATGACCTTCACCGTAACTGATCCACTTGTTGACCCGATATTTGACCTCTAATTCGTGGGACTTGTAGTTGATTGATGGATAAATCTGATCGATAACAATAAATTACTTCAAGTATTGCTGATTGACTTGAGCCTGTGGTTTCTAGGACTTGTTTACGATTCTTTATCGCCTCATATCAGAATTTCTACAATTATACCAGTTGAATTTATTAGAATTTAATTGCTGGATGGTGACTAGCAGCAGTGGAATCCAGGATAAAGCGCATTTCGTCCTATTTGGGACTCGTCATCAGCTGGATGTACCTGCATTCCCCAGTAAGTGATGCTGTTCCCACCACCGGAGATGAACTTTTCATGCATAAGAATTTTGTTCAGTCATTAAATCTACAATGAACTTGATCTGTCTTAACACTGGACACGCGATTTTTGTTTGTTAATTGTAGTATTTTCTTTCCACACCCTTCATTGCCGTCAATTATATTACATCACTCAACTTACTTATTTACTTTTTATTTCATTTTCTGTGTGATAAACGCCTCATACATTATGTAACTACTGAAAACCAGGGAAACAATGAATATTCGTTTCGTCCTAGTTTATAAAAATCTTCGGCAGTTCCCACCCATCCAATTACTAAGGTTCAAACGCAGAACTTTCAGGTTACAATGACAGCCCGTCGACCATCACCTTATAACTTGAAGATTCTGGGATTTTTCTTTCGTTTGACGCGCTCCTGAAATTTACCTGGTACTTAGTAGTTCTGGAATATAAAGAAGTTTGGGTGTGAGGCTATCAACCCACTCCCCTAGTGAAACAAAAATCACAACGATTGGCAGCACTTCAAAAAAGCCATAGCCCCATATTCCACTCAGAAATATATATATACATTGTAGACAGACAGAAACATCTATCCAGTAGGTTCCGCTAAATTTGGCATCTGCTGCTCACTGTGGATGGCAGGCACATCCAGATGACGAGTTTCAAGAAAGACGCGGCATGCCTCCTCGACCCCACTGCCGGTTATTAAAAGCTAATTAACACAGTGTTATTTAGTGGATGGTGACTAGCAATGGAATCCAGGATGCGCGTTTCGTCCTATTTGGGACTCGTCAACTGGATGTGCCTGCATTCTCCAGCGAGTGATGATGTTCCTACCACCGAGGCTCGAACCTGTCAACCTATCCCCGACAAATAAATATGCATGAAAGGTGCCCAATGATTGGAAGAGAGGCCACCTCATCAGACTACCACAGAAACGCGACTTAAGCCTCTGAAAGTACTGGCGTGAAACAATACTCTTGTCCACGCCAAGTAAGATACTAGGTTGCGTCATCCTGAAGAGAATAAAAGGTGCACTCGATGCAGAATTCTGCCACATCCGAACAAGCCGGATTCAGGAAAGGCAAATCATGCACTGATCAAATTGCATATCTATGCATCCTCATTGAACAAAGCAAAGAATGGCAGTCAAACCTCGCTCTACACCAATTTCATCACATTCGAAAAGGCTTTCGACAGACATCGCTGAGCGAGAAGTAGTTTGGGAACTACTTCAAGACTACGGCGTGCAGTGCTAAAGTCATCAGCTGGCTACATAACAATGCCACGTGTCAGATCACCAGTGCGAAATTCAAAGAGGCGTTCGAAGTGAATGCAGAAGTAAGAGAAGGCTGGTCGCCTATTATCACCAATGATATTCCTAACTGTGGTGAACCGGATTGTGCGGCACACAGTGTGGGTTTGGGGAGTGAGGAGACTGGAGCACGCTGAACCACCGACAAGAAAACTCTAGAAGATCTGGATTTTGCATATGGATGACATGTTTAATGTCACATAAACTCAAAGGCTTACAGGCAGGCGAAAACCAGCAAACTGGCAGAAGAAGCAGGCAGACAGAGATGATAAAACTTCAGATGAACCTAGAGAAGATGGAGATGATGAAGATAACTAACCAACGAACAACAACAACAACCAGCACCAATCACAATCAACGGGAGACAACTGACTGAGGTCAGTTCCTTCACTCATTGAGGAAGCATCGGAACGGATGAAGATGCCTAAACTAGATAACATTGGAAAGACCAGAAGCACTTTCATTAATCTGAAATCACTTTGAAAATCTTCTACATTCAGCCAGTATAAACAAAGAGATTCAGATTTTCAACTTCAGTGTTCGCAAAGTTAAAGTTTAAGCACCAGTAACTACCAATGGGAAAAAACTTTGGACGCACTAACTACATAATAAAAGCGATTTTTGCGTATAAAATACATATGTATTCATGAAATGACGAATTAAGAGGCATGGAACTATCGCGCATGATACTTTTCTCAAAAAGTGTGGCAAAAATACCTCTCACTTTTGCATTTGGAGTATCGAGTAACTTAACCAGATTCCACTCATGTATTTATCTAGGTCTTCTAACCCCAACAATAACCCTAGTCTTTCTTGAACCTAACCATGACGTGAAGATATCCCCGAACATACCTTTACCTATTTCGATCCAACCATAGCGTCGCCCTCACTAGATTAACCCGAACCTAACCTGTCCTCAGTCTAAAACGAAACTTATTCTTGCCCAAACGTAACCTGAAACTTGTTAGATGTCCCATTTAATAATAACATAAAACTTCGATGAGCATATTTTATTGATGATGATAACATTATTTGCCAGGTTTCACTAACTTGCCCACTCAGCGTTTGAAGGTCACTTGTGCAATCGCCCTCCATTGGTTGTTAGTGGTGCTTAAAGTTTAACTTGGCCAGTTATTTTTATGACATGTGAGAGAAGGGTATCCTCTGTAACACTTTTATACAGTTTTCATGCATTCTTGTTTTCATAAATATGTGTATTCCATACATAAAAATGCCCCTTTCACGCGATTGGTTCGTTCAAGGTCATCCGCTGATTGGTAGTTAGTGTTGCTTAAAGTTTAACTTCGCCCTAATTACTCATAAATATCCCTTTAGAAGAAAGCTATAAAAACTGCCTGTCAACTCTCTGACTTACTCCCTTCACATCTGTACGGGTATTTATATATCCCTTCGGCTGTACTGAAGTAAAAAAGCCAGTTCAGACAAACAGGAAACCCTCCTTCTCAAGTGATCTCTCTCTCTTCGTGGGTCTACCCATCCTGTATATTTTTCACAGATTCAATCGACGTTCATTTCTTTAACAGTAGTAACCACTGAGTAGGGCCATTTAACTTGGCCCAAATGTCAAGTCAGTCAGCGTTTTTCTATGGGTCAGGAGCTTGGCGTTCGCTTCACGAAGATCATTTCCAACAGACTGTTGCAAACTTCTATCAACAGCTGCCTACTTCGCTGGCTCCCTAATAAAGATGAAATAGCAGCAGGGAGCTCTGGCAACAAACCAACTAAGAGCCGACTGCTTAATAAATATTTAAGTGGAAATGGAAGTGGATTGGACTCGCACTGAGGAGTGACCGTAGAGTGACATCACGCGCCAGTCAGACCCTCAGGTAGAACCAGAATTTCAAACGAAGAGTAGGTTGTTAGTGCAAAGATGATATGGAGGATGTCGTGTGAAGAATAAGAAATATAAGCATATACGGAGTTATGGAGTCAGCTAAAAACGAAATGTAGGGAACAGACTGACATGGACATTTGATTCTGAATTCTTACATTCCACTCGGAACTCAAGGGAATACGAGTAGTATTAATGGAAGCGTGTTCAAATACAAATAAACTATTACACTTTCATTAATTTCTCATGTTATCACTTCAATTTACTGACTTTCTTGTCACCTCAGCTAAGTGTGCAGCCGGAAGTAACACCGTGAAATTCTCCTACTTACCGTGAATGTGCAACAATTGCTTTCATTGTTTCGTAATTTCTTCTTTGTAAAGCATAAGTGACAAAATAGTTACCATCTTTATCTGGTAGAAATTTTGCCTTCGATGTCAGCAAATAATCGAGGATTTCAGCATTATTCTCTTTAGCGGAGTAATGCAAGGCTGTCATCTACAAGACAAATAAATGTAAGGCTAAAAGCTATGTCGTAAATATTGGGATTCAAAAAGAAGGAGAAGGAGAATATACCAGACACAAGCACACACACACAAAAAGTGAAATCACCAATTCATAGGCAAAATATCTTAATGTGTACAGAAAATATAAGATTCACCTTCCAAGAAAAGGCATACAAACAAATCGCTGGTGTTGCGATGGGGAGACCTCTTGGGCCTCTGTTAGCAGATATATTCATGTCGAAATTGGAAAAGCAAATGCAAGGTATGCTTGGAGAATTTATGTTGTAAAAACGTTATGTAGATGATACTCTCATTATTGGTAATAATAGTAAATCTATTGAAAAATTGATTACCTTATTTAATCATATTCATCCAAATATCCGAGTGACTTCTGAACTCGAATCGAATAACAAACTCGGTTTCCTCGATATGACAATGACCAGGAGAGACGATGGAACGATTCAGCGACCTATTTTTCGTAAACAGACATGGAGCGGACAATATCTTCATTTTACCAGTTTTGTTTCTAGTCAGTATAAACGTTCCCTAGTGAAATGTTTGTTCTCAAGGGCCCGGAAAATATGCACGAGTGACACAGTGATGGATGCGTTTCGACATATACATTCAGTTTTATTAGCTAATGGGTATCCGGAAAACTTTATTACTTGTCACAGTAAAGAAAGACCACATCTCGAAAAGACAGCTTTTGTACCAAAGAAAGCTATCTTTATTAACCTACCATTCAAGGGCGATCAGATTATGCAGTTGACAGCTAGCTCAAAGACTTCGGTCAGCCATCAAACGCACATTCTACGCCGCATCTCTTTTTCTCACATGCCGAACATTTTTGGTCCCTGTACCTACGATTAAACGACGAAATTCTATGGACTCTACTTCAAACTGTATCTACAAGTTCACCTGCAGCTGCGGTGATACCTATATAGGTAGAATCAATAGCATGTTCCAATGTCGTCGGAAAGAACATGTTCCAAAATAGTTACTAAATCAGATAGAAAATCCCAGTGCGAGTAATCTGAATAGAAATCCAGTATCATCCATTGCAAAACACTAATTAATGTCAGGTCACAAAATCAATCAATATTAATGACTATTTCACAATTATTTCATCACATAACTCTAATTCAAAGGTAATTAAAGGTGGTGGAAGCACTTTGGATAAATCACATACAACCTAAACTGTGTGTACAAAAATCAATAGACTTCAATCTTTGCCTACCCTGGACTACTTGACCAATATAAATGTGATTGGTCATTAGTAGGTACTTTTGTTTTTTATTTAACTGAGTAATTGTCATGAACTTTATTTTATTAATGTTAACTATATTAGTTGTAAAGCAGCTACGAAGTGATATCATATCGCGAAATTTGTCTTCTAAATGCCTTACTCAAATTTATCAGAGGGACTATTTGTTTTAAAATATTTATCATCTACTTTTAATATTCGTGCCTTGTGTTCCGAGTGGAACATTGGGCCTCATCTGCCCATCCTTACTGAGCATAACTCTCTGCATTCTTTTTCAGATGGCTTCATGACTTCCCACTGACGTTTGTTCTTTCCTCCCATTTAGACAACTGATCCGTCGCCTCCTATCTGAGTCCTATTGGCAAGGAGTGGGGGACCTTACTTTTGACGTAACTTGAATGTCTCCTCCGAGTATATCCAATATACCTGCATTTCTGCTAGAGGTCCATATTGCTTATACTACCCAGTCAGTCATCTGATCTACAATGTTGAGTGAAAACGGCAGGTTTATTGATGGAAGTCTGTAGTAGCCCGTTGAAATGTTGTCGGCACTGTGTTCACACAGTCACTTAACCATACAGAAGCTCTGACTTGATATTATTAATGTTAGAAACTCAAGCGTGCTCAGTGTAGCAGATTCTTTTGCCAATTTCAGAGTAGTGAACGCCTGCCTAGCTTCCCTGATCATTTATGCCGTTGACACCCTCAGCCTTGCTGTCACCTGTAGTTGAAACGATCCTGTCCAGGTCAGGTAAGTGAAGGAGGTTACTTCACTAAGGTTTCTACTATTTATTCTGGTTGAGGTTTGTTATTGTTAGTCGAAAGGAATCCTCACCACTTCTCTCTTGTCTGTGCTTCCTCAAAGTCTTGTCTTTGTTACATTTTCTGCCATCTTGTTGGTTATCCCATAGTAGTTTGTTTATTAGATGTATCACACGGTGAGTGAAAGAGTATTATTTACTGGATGACGTTTCGAACAAAATTTATTGTTCATGATCATTTCATCGATTATAATCATACAACTTCGAAACTTGAGTTTTATAGTTTTCTTTGTTCTCTCCAATTTGTCGTCATAGGGCTAGCAGAATTTTCCAGATGTCTGAGTGGACAGGTGTTGAATCGCTCCTATTACACGTGTTGGTTCGCAGTCGAATCGATAAACAAAGCTTCTGTTTTCAATCCCTCCCTCCACCCTGTCATCTTATCCCATCATCCTACTGTATGGTTAGGTGTGTGTAATTGCATGTGGTGTAGTGCCATAGCTGAACTGTTCTCTAGATTTCTTATCTTATTCGCTTTAACTAATCTAGATTTTGCTGCTAGGTTTTTATGCTCGTCTAGTCTGACTGACTGACCCTGTTCTACTACCTTGACCTATGTATTTGACCTGGTAATCATTCCAGCAAGATATTAGATAAACTAAATTGTTTTGTTTTAAAGGCTCCACAGGATCCACCATTTAACCGACAAAGCTTGATTCTAATTGAGTTTGTTGGGCGTTTGAATGCCAGCCACTTTTATTCCTGCCTTGTTAAGAATTCTGCGTAAGCTTTCCGAGGTTCCTTCCTTGTATGGAATTACTACTGATGATTTAGACTCCTTATTATTGGTGTTGTCTTGCGCACATTTCACTTGCATATCGTCATTAATATTATTATTATTATCACTATCACGACTATCATTATTTATTTTATTTTTACATTTTCCTACATACCTTCTGACTAATTTATCAGGGTGATTATTAAGTTTCAAAACTTCTCTTATATGCTTCACTGCTTGTCTTAGATTTTCCTTGGTACTACTTAGATTTTGTGCCCTATTACTTCAACATTTCACCTATCCTGTTTTCACTGGCATAGGATAGGATGATCGGAACAGTAAATTTTGTTCGAAACGTCATCCAGTAAATAATACTGTTTCATTAATGTGTGATGCATCTAATAAACAAATTAATTTGGAAAGACTTACTACCACAGTGCCCAAGTTTTACACATATATTAACTTCTTGGTTATCACCTGTAGTTTTTCGAGTTTGTGCTACATTATACTTAAATACCGTACATGAATTCCAGATCTTTTAAGGTTGGTCCAGTACCTGTCCATCTTCTTACTCCCCATGAATTATCACATGATCCAGTTCACATCAGTCAGGAAGATCTCACGTGAGAGTAGGCAATTTTGTCCTACTGACGCCTTCACTATAAAGGCTTTGGTGAGGTTTTCATTGTGAAATACTATGCATGTGTCACCATTGTACAGCTGATGAATGGAGTTTATAAATGTTTGCGGCACTGCATTTATTAGTGACAAAGTCGTTAACGAATTACTTCACGGTTGGTGCTGTTCAAGACCTTTTCAAAGTTGATGAAGTCATCGTACAGATTTGATTGTCATTCCAGGTTTTGTTTGGTGATGGTGTGTAACGTTGCAATTTGATCTGCGTATGATTTGGTTGACTTAAATCCAGCTGATTGCGGACGGAGTTTTGCATATAGAGCATAACACTTTACTTAGCGTGAAGAAGAGCACTATTCCACTCCAGTTTTCACAGGGGCCTAAGTCACCCTTCTTTGGTAGCTTGGCAAGGTAGCTTTTCTCCCAAACACTGGGTACTTTTCCTTCCTTGCAAACCTGTTGCGATATTAGCGTCAGCATATCTGCTAAAGTCTCCGGGACCGATTTCAGTGCTTTATAGGGAATTCCGTCTGTTCTTGCTGCCTTTCCTGACTTTAGTAGCTTGATCGCATTCAAGATTTCTGTTTTTGTTGGAGGATTAGTCTCAACTGGTCGTTGGTGGTATTTCTGGGTTTGTTGCAGGTGATGGTCGATTCAAGAGTCCTTTAAAGTGATCAGCCCATTGTTTTATTTGTCTCTCCTCCCTGGTAATTGAGTTCCTCTGAGCATGTCTTATAGGTTTCCCCTGCGTTGACCTTTTCCCAGAAAAAGACCTTGTTACCTGATATGACGTTGTGAGGTCTCATTTACCTGAAGCCTGCCCACCTGCATGTTCTGCTTCGGTTGCAGATCAGTGTGTCGTAGAATAGTCGTTTATCTTTCCTGGCACTCTTCTTCACTGATTTATTCAGTGTAATATACATTGAACTTAGCTTCCGCTTCTGCTGTCCATCTTTGCATTGAGTTGTCTTCCCTTTCACCATCCTCCTCTCTTCTGTTAGCTTGAAGGTGTCCGTAAAGAGTCGTTCCTTGCTCTGCCTCATCCTTCTTCTTAAAACAGTTGCACACATTCTCTAGAACATCACCTTCAAAGAGTTTCAGTGTTCTTCTGCGCAGATTTCCTCAATGACGCCAGGGAACATCTCAGACTTTACTCTAATATTTACAGTGAAGGTATCCTTTGAAGTTTTTGTTTCACTTTCTGGATGCTGAACTTGAATTTCTACATCTGCTACCCTTCTCGAATCTATGTACAACAGTTTGCATCTCCATATTCTTTAAACTGAGATGAAATCTGTCTCGTTTTTGGTGTGTCCTTCAGCCGAAATCCATGTTACCTTGTATATATCCTTGTGCTTGTATACACTGCCGCCAATCACCAAATCTTAGAAGGGGCAGAATTCTACGAAGAGTGCTCCATTGTCATTCATTTTGCCTTGAGCCTGTCAAACAATGATGAATTCTCTTCCTGTATTATCAGGTCCCAGTTTGGCATTCTAATCGCCCATGAGGATTTTGATGTCACCATTTGGGATGTTGTCCATTACTCTTTGTAGTTGTCTGTAAAAATCTTCCTTCTTCTCTTGTCCCGAGTTGTTTGTAGCACTGTGCGTAGCACTGAATAATAGTAACCTTCCTTCCTCGTTTCTACGTCGAATCTTGCTGTCATGATCCTGGATGAAATTGATTTCCACTGCACTGAAGCTTTGGCTGCCACTGGTGACATCATGATATCCACTCACTGCCTCAGTGTGCTCGTGGTTATTGTCTGGTTGACCAGACTGGAGTAGAATACTGACTTTCCAGTCGACAATCTGGATAATCCACATCCATTCCACCTTCTTTCGCAGATATCCAGCACTTCCAGGTCATATCTTCGCATTCCCAGTCTCGTTCATTGTAAGGTCATTTCAAGTCCCCATTCTTATTCTTGCTTTCATCTAGGGAAGGCACACTGATTGGCTGACTGGCTTCCCGGAGGCTTTAACCAGCCCACTGTTTCCTTTCGCTATTTCGGGGCATGGTCGCTGGTCCCACTCCCACCTCTCCCTTTTTACCCTGGCTTGGGACCGTCTAGAAAGGTAGTAAACTAGGTGAGGTTAAATTTAAGAGATAATTTAAGGTAACTACATTGCTGAGCATTAATGACAGAATAGGCAAAAATCGATAGGCTGTAGATTTTCAAATAATGGTGAAATATTTCTGCTCGTATAGATGATTTTGCTCTGAATCCTGACTGATCCTTTATTGTTTCATAAAGAGGATATAAGTGTCGAAGGTCAGGTGAACGAAAGGACCAATATTAAAACGAGTAAATACCAAATTCCACTACCCTTATCAACTTACTCCATGAAAATTGGTTTGATTCAACAAAGATGGGCTTGTTTGTAATAACAATTTGCAAGTTTTTAAACACCCACCAATTGATACATAATGCAAAGGTGTATTACCTATATGACATCTAAATACAATGCAAAAAAAACAAAAGAGAACAAATCATATGAATCAATTCTAACAGCTTTATATGACACAAAAAGGGAGGATAAATGTGTGAAGCATATGGAGGTCACAATGATTTGAGGTTAGGTGTTTCAAGGCAACCGACAGGAAGCTCTGGACGTGTTTCGCGCTCGCTGGCACTGGTTAGCAAGGCGCATCGATAACCCTGAAGAAACTTATGCCCCTTCCGAGATCCAAACCCACTAACTGACTGGCTATTGCATCTTTGACTTCATCACTGGGTAACACAGGTTTCTGAAACTCAGAAGGACATGAGTTCCTTCAAAATAGCTGATTAGCAAGTACGAAACCTATGTTCGAGGCTTCTAAAACATCCTAGTCAGAATCTTCAGAGTGTTGTTTAGAGATCTATAGAAAGTTTGATTGTTGGCTTATCATTATCCTTCTTGAGATTAGTTAATTTTCTTTGACTGAATTTTGAAGACATTCCAAAAAATCAATTCTGATTGATTATCGATCAAGTCTCACTATAATACTTGCATTCAATACGATTAAAATGACTGGAGAGGCACTATGTGTAGCTGATTACAGTTCACATTGTGGACAGTCTTCGATGCGAAAATTGATGAGATTTCAAAAATTTTCTGTCAAGGAATTACCTGATTAAATCATCTTTGAGGTATAGGTTCATACACGATGTATTTTTATGAAATAGGGTGATGAAATCATCTTAACTTAGATGAGGTCAACTATAGTATACATATATATATATATATATATATATATATGGATATAAATGTAGAACCTGCTGACCCTGTTTAAATGGAAAGGATTTCGTGCGTCGGTGGCATAGCGGTTAAAACTCTCGCCGACCATGCACATGGTCCGGAGTTCGATCCCCGGCCTTTACCTCGCCAAGCCAGAAATAATACCGGTGAAGAGGAAAGGTTGGGCATGAGGCTAGCAACCCCATCCTGTAAAATAAACACTGCTACAGAAACTTCAAGCCACTAGCTTGAATCCCTATGTTCTACTGGGGGACGTGAAGGAAAGAAAATGCATGATTTCATTATAATTCAACAGAGGCGATAATTTTGGATTTGTAGAAAGGATGGTCTATGAGCTAGCTCACCTTTTAACTGGAAGGTTCTGGGTTCAAATCCCGCAGGGTGGGTGCGTACTGATTAAGAGTCCCAAACTAGGCTGACGAAACAGCTGTCCAATAATCCATGCAGGTTTTCCAATGGTTCTCTAACTGATGTCAGCTGTTCATGATGAAATTCTCCAACAAATCTGTTTTCTAAATAAATTCGTACATCTTCACTTTTGACTAAGACCCTCCCCACAATATATACAGAATCTTACGAATTGACTCTTTCCGTACTTTTGCAATCATCATTTGACAGTGATATTTTAATATGACTACTACTATAGCTACTTCCATTAACTTACTTATTCCTTGATATTCTCATGTAATGCATTCATCTGTTCTTCTCAGTCATCATCATTTTACAAACTAGCGACTATGCAATAACCCGTTTCTCATGTCTACAAATTGACTCACCTTGCAAACCAGACTCATAGAATTCAGTCTACACTGAAGAAAGGAGTAGACACATCGCACTAGTTAGCTACTAGTGTCCAATCAAAGTATCCAATACAGTCAGTCCTACAGGAGGCCAGTCGCGAGTTCGAATAGCTCAATGGTAACGTCTCTGACTGCAGTACTCACTGGGTGAAGCGTGTTCAAATCTCAGAGTTGTGGGACATGAGTTCCTTCAAGGTTGCAGATACTCCTTGCTGACTGGTGAGTGACAACTAGCACGAAAACTAGGTCAAGGTCGTCCTAGTCTGGGACTCTTCAACAGTGAGTACCTACTGGGGTTTGAAATGGCAAGAGCTGGAATTCTCGGTCTATTGGTTAGAGTCCAAGCTGCTGAATGGTCTACGAGCTCTCTAGCTTTATACCTGGAAGGTCCTGGGTTCGAATCCTGGTGGGTGCATACTGATGAAGAGTTCCAGACTAGGAAGCCTTCACTGCTTCTCTAACTGGTGGCAACACGCAGTCAAACTTGAATCAGTATAAAATTTTTAATATAGGTTAACTCCGTTGATGAGAAACTAGCTGAAAAAGAAGTTTCGGATGCAACTGATACATTATTTAATTAGATCTCGTTTTTCGTTCAGTGGGCACAAAACTGTTGTAACTTGTCGGCTGACTGTTGCATTTTGATTTTTTATGAACAAATCTTCTTGGAGTTTCCTCAGCTCTTATTATTAATTCAGTATCAAGAAAAGGAATTCATAGTTCCTCGGTAGATTTGTTGTTTTTTGTCTAGACGTGCTACTGGCGATTTTGAAATTAGTGAATTCGTGAGTAAATATTGACTGTTAAGGGAAGACGCAGTAATGAGGCTAAATGAGAAGTAAACGAGGACAAGGATATGAGTATTATTGTTATTTCTTTGGGTTCCGAGTGGAAGACAAGGCTTCAACAGCACATCACTTGTTTCATCCTATTTTCTGCATTCCCCTTCAGCTGACTCCAGTATTGATTGTAGGCTCTCATCTCTCCCTCATACGATCCCTCAAACAGCCAACCCATCGCTTCCCATTTGTGTTCAGTTTGAGGGCTTGACTGACATGCAATTTCCCCTGACGGTCTCCAAAGAGTGTGCCCTATCCATTTCCATTTTTTTCAACATATTTGCTGGATAATAGCGTTGTCGATTGGTTCATTCCTTGAGCTTCTCATTTCCAATTCCTTCTGACATTCACTATGGAGCTTGCGAAGGCAGATGTTGATGAAAGCCTTCAGCAGCACGTCAAAAGCTTTTCAAGGTGCGAACGTCAAGATTCAAGCTGATATAGAAGAAGTGACTGACTTAACATTGGTGTTGCAATTGCAAATTTTGTTCTTTATGCTGAGTCAGTGAAGAAGACTTCTAAAGTGATTGTAGAGCAGTGAAAGTCTTTCTTGCTTTCTTGATCCGATCTAGCACTGACGACAGTCGCATTCGCGCCGAATGCCTGCAGTTGAAACGATGCTTCCTAGCCAGATAAGTGATGCACGTGATCTCTTTCAAATATCTCCCGGTTGATAATGATTGACGCTTGTCGTTGTCGTCGGTCATCTTGTATTTTCATTACCTCTGTCTCCTCTATGTTTACATGTTTACACTGCAAGCTTCTTCTGACAACTTGTTGGTTCTCGTCTTTGAGTCTTCGAATGCCTGTGACCGTAGATATCAGTCGTTCGCAAAGTCTACATCTTCTAGAGTTTTCTTATTGGTCCATGATATTCTTGTCTTCCCTCCTCCCTACAGTCTAGTGAGTAAAGCAGTCCATCAGAGTCAGGAATATCGGTGTTGATTGCAGGCAGAGAGCCATGCCTCACTCCTATAAATATTGCTAACTTCCCTGGGGAATTTATTGGAAATTTTTAATAATAATAATAATTTGCTTTATTCCAGAAACAGTACTAATGGTACAGTGTGGAATTTTCGGCAAATATCTACAATATTTGCATCTAATTTTATCAAACATTTAAAAGGAGTATTTCAAAAAAAATAAATATAAAGACACCAACAGCAATAAAAGACAGTAAAAAAAAACAAAATAACTTTTAAAAAATTCGAAAAAATACCAAGAAGTAGAAAGGAAAATAAACAGCATTTAATAATAACTCAGTATTGGGTAGTAAGAGCTATGATATGATTATGCATGGTGACAGTAAAGCTATAGTCATACAAGAAGTTATGAAATGATATTTAAGAATGTTTATCGCCAAGATGATCAGTTAAAATGGTTGAAACAACCATTTTAGAAAGAAGAGAACACGAGTTTCAGCAAAGATATCTTTTCGGCGATTTCATTTTCAAAAGCTGTACAATCGCATTTAAATACAGAATTTTACATGGAAACAATTCTTGTTTGATTCTAAATAATTACGATGGCGAATAAAAGGTGATAATTATTCCCAACTAGATATGGTTTACGAGGAGAGGCTTAGAAACAAAATTACACAGGATTAGAACGGATATCAAGTGTATAAAAATGAGCATGGAAACGAAATTGAAATAATAATTTTCAACTTGAGATGGGAATCAGGAGGTGTGAACATAGATTACAAGAGCCTTAAAAACACAAAAATTGCACAGGATTAAGATATAATTGTTAATTTTTTTTAATGAATTATAAATGTGAACAGGAAAAGTATGGAAACAAACTTAAAATAACTGTTTTTATAACTGGAAAAAAATAATGGGGTGAATCGAATGAAGACTGAGGGAGTAAGAATCACACACACAGCGAAAGAAAAGGGATCAAAAACAAAAAAACAAAAAAAAGGAAGCTAAGGTAACATACCGAACTAAGTCCATGGTAGTTGTAGAGGTTGGACTAATTTCTTTTGAACACACAGCTCCGGCTTCTCGATGCATATTGCGAGGGCTTCTGCAGCACAGGGAAGTCGGAAACAAACTGCTTTCGGTAGGTTTCTGTTGACTTTGTAAATTACTTTGAATGAATCAGTTGAGATGTTGTGGGAGGTATTGATCAGATGCTCAATAATGGCACTTTTGATTGAACCGGTGCTTCCTCTTTGCAGGCACGCTGGGTAGTGTTCTCTAACACGTTCTGAAAGGACGCGCATACAACTACCTATGTACCTTGCTCCGCACGAGCAGGTGAACTGGTAAATGCATATTGAATTCGTCATATGCGACAGTTTGTCCTTCCCATTGCTCAGAAGAAGTGTGTGGCTAGAGAATGTCACTCTTAGAGTTGCTACCGGAAAAGTCTTCTTCAGTGATTTGGCGATTCTCCTTTTAAGGATGTCTGCTGCTAGGTCTATCCTGAATTACAGATTCAGATAGAGTGTCTTCTTTTGCACTGAAGTGTATTCTTCTCTTTTTGGCCTTGGTTTCATGTTCTCCACGAAACGCGGCGGGCATCCGTTTTGAACCAGGATGCCTTTTAGGAATAGGAGCTCTTCTTCTAAACAGTCATAACTACAGATTCTTCTGGTACGGTGGGCTAGCGAGATGAATTGATATCCGTTCTAATCCTGTGTAATTTTGTTTCTAAGCCTCTCCTCGTAAACCATATCTAGTTGGGAATAATTATCACCTTTTATTCGCCATCGTAATTATTTAGAATCAAACAAGAATTGTTTCCATGTAAAATTCTGTATTTAAATGCGATTGTACAGCTTTTGAAAATGAAATCGCCGAAAAGATATCTTTGCTGAAACTCGTGTTCTCTTCTTTCTAATATTTTTAATTTCTCAACAATTAAAACTTATCAATATATTAAATTAACATCAAAAAACGCACTTTCGAAAAAGACAACCACGATTAAGAAATAACTTGACAATTTCTAAATGTCCACGTTCTACTGCCACATGCAATGGTAGACGTCCCACAGCATCAGGACAATTCATTGCACGCATTCCATGCGGCGTAGCCAACAACTTTTCACATGTATGCAACCGACCAAAATACGCTGCTGTATGCAGTGGGGTGTTACGTTCATTATCACGTTCTAGTGCTGAAGCTCCACGTAGAACAAACTCTGTAGTTGCGCCTAAATTACCCATTTTTGTGGAATAATGCAGTGGAGTTGAACCATACTTGTCTTTTTCATTAACTAGTCGTTTGAATAATTCTTCCTATGATAAAAAAAACAGAGTTTAAAAATATTTTTTTTAGTGTCTAGTGGAACATCTTAGGCAAATTAGTTAGTGAGGTATTCAACGCATGTCGTCTGAGGAAGTTAGAAGAACAAAGGGTACCACTGGTTCCCAGTAACATCAGAAAATCGATAAAAATGGGAGAGGAATCTGGGCACTCTAGTAAAATGTAACTCCGTATTAGAGAAGCTTCTTTGCTGCAAAATACAATTATACTGTGATAAGTGGATGACAAGGTTTTGAGCGTAAATTATTGCCACTCATAATCATATCAGTTTGATCACACGCTCTAACAATTTGTTTTAAATACATTTTTTAAAATATTCCTTCATGTTCCCAGTGGAACATAGGGCTTCAAGCTAGAAGCTTGATTTCTTTTCTAAACAACCCCTTTTATATTGATAACTTTGAGTCCTTCCTCTTTTGGTTAGTACAATTTTTTAAAAGCTGTACTACACATACTACTGATATACTTAATTAGCTTGACTTATGCCAGAGTTTGTTAGTGAATTCAGAGTCAATTTCTTTTATATCCAAACAGAATTTGTGACGTCTAAAACTTCAGTTTATTCAGAAATGTGAACAATAAAGCTGCTTTAGTGCATCCTTACAGCTAGCCAGTCATGTTGGCTCTGATTTCGGCAGACATTTATCATGGGCATCCTAGAGCAAAATAAGATTATGAAGTCTGCAATCAGTTAAACAGACTTCTACACCAGATTTAGCGATGAAAAGTTTTTTTATTTGTGTTTGTGATCACAAACAATAAGCCTTCTGAATCATGCTCACCCTGATATAAATTTAACGCTGGGGGATAATCTTGAGGACAGGGGACAAGTTAAACTTTAAGCACCAGTAAGTACCTATGGAGTAAGGCCCCATCAATGACCTTGAAATACTCACTAAGTGAGCGAGTTAGCGAAACCTGGCAAATAATATTGTAATCAATTATAAAAGTATGCTTAATGAAGTATTATGTTATTACTAAGTGGGATACCTGACAAGTTTCAGGTTCAGTTTGGGAAAGATTAAGTTAAGGTTTACACTGAGGACAGGTTAGGGTCAGGTTAACCTAGTGAGGGCGACACTATGGTTGGTTTGAGTTAGGTAAGGATGGGTTTGGGGATATTTTCACGTTATGGTTAGGTTAAGGAAAGATTAGGGTTATTATGAGGGTTAGAAGACCTAGATAATTGCATACACAAGATGTGGTTATATTACTCTGCTGATACTCCAAATGCAACAGCGAGAGGTATTTTTCTCAGACGTCAGAGAAAGGTATCCTGGGTAACAGTTTCATGCCTCTTCATTCACCAATTCATGAATAAATGCATTTTATACGCAAAAATCGCTTTTACCATGTGGTTGATGCGTCCAAGGTTATTTTTTCATTGGTACTCACTGGTGCTTAAAGTTTGACTTTGCAAACACTTGTGTTGAAAATCCGAATCTCGTTGTTTATATCGGCTGAATGAAGACGATCGTCAAACTGACTTCAGATTAATGAAAGTGCATCTGGTCTTTCCTATGTTACCTAGTTTTGTCATCTTTATGCGTTCCAAGGCTTCCTAAATAAGTGAAACAAGTAACCTCAGTCGAATCTCTCCCGTTGATGGTGATTGATACTGGTTGTTGTTGTTGTTGTTGTAATTATTCGTTGATCGGTTATCTTCACCGCCTGTATCTCCTCTATGTCCACCTGGAGTCCTATCTTCGCTACCTGCCTGTTTCTTCTGCCAGTTTGTTGGTTTTAGCCTGTAAGCCTTTGTGTGAAATTAAAGATAAACCATGCTTGTGCGAAATCCAGATCTTCTAGAGTCTTCTTGTCGGTTCAAGGTATCCCCACACACACTGTGTGCCTCACAATCTGGTCCACCACAGTTAGGAATACCATCGGTGATAATAGGCAGTCAACCAGTCTTGCCTTACTCCTGTATGCACTTCGGACACCCCGTGAACTTTTCCGTTGTGGACCACGCGACATGTGGCATTCTTACATAGCCAGCTGATGAATGAGGTTGATAAAGATTTGAGGCACTGCACACCGTAGTGTTGAAATAGTTCACAGATTACTTCTCATGTGAGAAAGCTTCTCTCAAAGTAGAATGTCAAAGAAGAGTTATGAAATACTTTGGTGGTAGTGGTTTTTTCTTCAAAAGTTCATTGACAAATATTGGAAAACTAGTCTGACGGATGAGTTGATGACATTGGTAGTGGAATAAGACTGAACTGAAAGGAATATATCCAGTTGCCAAGTTCACATTGTCGATTTAACAAAATGCTCGCCAACCACTCACGTTTTCTGGCGTCTGACTCCCGGAAGACGTATCGCCAAGCTACACCTAGTTTGCTGGGTGGTAGTAAGTTTGGAAGGGAGGAAAGGTTAGGTATGAGGCTAACAGTCCTCTCCCGCCCCATCAAAACAACACCACTAACCCTGGTGCTGACCCTGACCCGGGTGAAACTTCAGAGACTAGCCCCTCCCCTCATGGGCTCCACTTGGAACTTAGACTACGTCAACTCCTAGCTTAGTGATAGGGAGTGAAGTGATAGAACAGGTCGACCACTTCACCTATTTGCGAAGTTGTATCAGCACCAATGGACTGATTGGTGACGAAATCTCAGCAAGGATCCAAATAGCTCGAGCTGCTTTTGCTAGCTTACGCCATCTCTGGCATAGGCGTGACACCCGGCTGTCAACCAAAGGACGTGTGTACTGCTCAGCAGTTCGCTCCGTCCTTCTCTATGGCTCTGAAACATGGCCAATACGAGTTGAAGACATGAAAAGGTTAACTGTTTTTGATCATAGATGTCTACGATCTCTTTCTCACGTTAGGTGATGGTATAATAAGGTAAGTAATGTTGACGTTAGGCGTAGAGTGTTGGGCAAAGAGGGAAGATCAATCGAAGAGGCTATAAAGTTACATAGATTGAGATGGCTAGGTCACGTGCTGCGCATGCCTAACCATCGCCTCCCCCGACGGATGGGCATTACTAGCTGATATAGGTGCAGGTTGGAAAAGAGTAAGTGGTGATCAAACAAAAACATGGCCTCATCAACCCATGAAATCCCTGACAGTTAAACTGAGTCAGGTAGGGAGATGCAGACTTCCGGGTTGGGGCCCGGCTCTCGGGACCCTAAGAATCAATGGCTGGAGACACTAGGTGACATGGCTGAAAATCGTTGTCAATGGCTTACGCAGATGTATTCAGTCTCTGTAATCTTTCATATTCCTTTCTACCATTACCCATTCTGTTTCACTCTTATACCTGTCAAAACTCTATTGATTCTCTTCACTCATTTTCTTGTCTACCTTTGTGTGCTCTTCGGAACGTGGCAACTCGAACTGCTGCACTTCGGTGCCAAGTTCTATGTTGAATCCAGACAGACAGACAGACTTGGAACGCAACTGAACGAAAGAAAAAACTTCGAAAATATAAAACAGCTTACATCATTTACTTCCGGCAGGACAGTTCTAATTCCTGGACCACGGAATAACATTAACAAATGGACTAAATTACGATTACTTGAATCATGTGCATTTGGATTTGCCCCAAGACGAAGTAGCTGAATACATGTTTGAAATGCACCTTTCATTGCAGCCAGTAATAATGGTGTCCAACCATTTGTTTCAGTCATTTCTAACGGTGATCCCTGGTTGATAAAAGTTTAGAAGTAGGAATAAAAAAACAGTTTTTAGTTTGTGCTCAAATTTGAGTTATATTTAAACATCATCGATGCTGAAATGAGTTTGTTTAGCTAAGTTGATGTTGAAAGCATTAAAGGATCTGGGGTTCTTCTTAAGTACAACTTTAGATATGTATATTCAGATGTTAGACCCAACCAACCATGTGTGAAATTATATTTGAAGGTGATTGCGTGAAGCAGGTAATATATGTCTAATGTCACACAAACTTGAAGACTTACATGCAGGCAAAAACCAACAAACTGGCAGTAGAAGCAGATAGGCAGTGAAGACAGGACTCTAGGTGAACATAGAGAAGATGGAGGTAATGAAGACAACCAACCGTCCAACAGCAACAACAACAACCAGCACCATCAATGGGAGAGATTTGACTGGGGAAACATGGTCTCAACCACAGACAGTCGGAACAGATGAAGATATCAAAGCTGGTCAGAATCGGAAAGGCAAGGCAGCACACCTTCATCACCCTGAAACCAGTTTGGAAATCTTCTGCACTCACTCAGCCAGCCAGCATAAACAACAAGATTCGGATTTTCAACACCGATATAAAGTCAGCCCTTCTTTACGGGTCAGACACTTGCATCGCGTGTCACGAAAATGATTTCCAACAGCCTGTTGCAGACCTTCATCAACAGTTACCTCCTTCGCCGGCTGACTCCATATTGAAGATCAGAAGGCTGACTGGCCAGAAAGAATAAGTAACAAGAAACTCTGTCTGGGGACAAACGAACAGGCGAGAGCCGATTGCTCAACAAATATGTAGGGGAATATGGAGATGGATTGGTTGGGCAAACGTTGAGGAGACAGTCGAATGACATAGCGTTCCGGGTCAGTGCTCGAGTGGAATCCCAATGGGAACCAACGAGTGTGTCGTCGGTGCGAGGGTGACACGGAGGAGATAGGAGATAATCGGGAATCTTGGACCCAGATGAAGAGGATAGCACAGAATAGAAGAAAATGGAGATGTTTGTAAAAAATTATGTTTGTAAAATCTCAGCGAGATTGAAGTGAGTAATTCCAACGTTTCCTACGTTCGGAAATCTAGTCCGAACTTTTTCAAGGAAATTAATGAAAATTAACATAACAGAGGTTTATATATAAAAGGAACATCTCTTGTTTTTAAAAACTTTGTCCAATCATGAGTCATTCAACAAGTATAATAAACAAAATTGTATGAGCTGTGATCGAAATTTGACCTCGGACTTACAAATATTGGTCTACCTTTGTTAAACACTTTAAAAAGAGTGTTTGTGGGTGAACAGTTGCAAAACATTTCTTAACGTCTCCATAAGAAGACATAGACAGTCGGGAATTTTGACCGAGTATTAATAATTAGTGATACATATCCATTTTTTTTTATTAATCAGGATTTCCTATGCATCAGCTAACATCAAACCTTCATGTCCGTTCAAACTGCTAGTATCTAGAATTTTATGATTAGACGTATTTTCAAAATTATGGTGTTTAGGATTAGAGTTTAGTTTAAGCACCCTGTCGAACTTATTGCTTTGTCTTCTTTCTGAAGATTGAGCTGCTTTATTCGACCTACTGGAGTTGTCAGGTGACTCGACAGCTACGGATTTAGGATATGCATTCTGTTGCAGACAACGGAGAGTGAAAACACGATGATTGTGCCAGTTACACAGTTTCTTTGTTAATTTAATTCGATTGCAATGTTTTTAAAAGCAAGTGATGTTCCTTTTATATATAAACCTCTGTTATGTTAATTTTCATTAATTTCCCTGAAGAAGTTCGGACGAGATTGTCGAACGTAGGAAACGTTGGAATTACTCATTTCAATCTCGCTGAGATTTTACAAATATTATTTTTACAAATGTCTACTTCTCACTCGGTGCCCAAATATTTTAGAACTATTCTGTCAAATCTTGACGACAGTTCATTTGAAAGTGGAGATGTGTTGTTGAATCTCTATATGCCACTTGGAACGCAAGGGAATAATAATAATGTATTACTAAGTGACTGGGATGGGTAGTCATCAGCCAGTCACACCATACTTTAGGGCTAGCCAGACAGCCAATTCAAAGTGATTCAAACACCGGATTGTATTCTTAATCGTTTAGATGTGAGGTCATCAGAGGTGTGCTTGGTTTGAGTTGGCTCGAAGAGCCGCCTAATAAATTTAAACCATCCAATTTTCAACTACCTACTTGTGTGAACTGTTAATATCATCAGTGATAAATTTTCAAATTGAAATTTTGATATTTTAAGGCCGCTTGGACTTGTGATTTTGACTCGGTTATGTTTCATAACTCTTGTCGTCTTGAATAAATCAATAATCCCATATTGAGTCATAAGAAAAGGGAACAAATAGCGAAGAAAATTTTCTTTTCGACGATTCATTTTCATGAGCTGCTGTACAATCGTAATTATATTCAACAAAGAAATCTTTAGACCAATCAGATACTGGTAAAATTTGTCCCCGAAAAATGTATTGTATAATGTAAGGTGTAACCTAGAGGGGTTGACTAATTGTAAGTTAGAAAGGAGACAGGAGTTGATATGACGTAATAAGTGTGAGATAATGACTAATCAATAAACTCGTGTAGAAGGGATAGGAACTAGTGGAAAGGCGATAAAGTGTTTTTACATAAAATCTGTATGAAAACGCAGTTTTATTAATGAACAGTAATAGAGGGATAATAAAATGTGGATGATGGGAATAATAATGATAATAAAATAACAGTAATCATAATAATAGTGAACTTACATAATAAAAGAAAGAAGCAAAATTGTAGTAAGAACTCTAGTCTGGCCAGGGTAGGGCGAGAGAATGTGTGTATCACTTTTGAATGCAGAAGTCCTGTTTCAGATCTCTAATAGCTGATGCTTCAGCTATGTACACATGGCGTATGCGAAGTCCCTTTGTACGATATTGAGGGACTCTGTGTATCACTGTGAAGCATTCATGTGGAGGTGCTCGATGTCCGGAGATGACAAGGTGTTCGAGGATAGAGCTGCTGCTATTTTTCTTTTCTCCTCTTGCTAACCGAGCTGGACAGTGTTCCAGAATACGTTTGTGGACTTGACGTTGCGTACGGCCGATTTACTTTGCTCCACACGAGCAAGTAAATTACTTAATTATTATTATGAATACTAATACTTTTATTATCATTATTATTCTCATCATCCACATTTTATTATCCCTCTATTACTGTTCATTAATAAAACTGCGTTTTCATACAGATTTTATGTAAAAACACTTTATCGCCTTTCCACTAGTTCCTATCCCTTCTACACGAGTTTATTGATTAGTCATTATCTCACACTTATTACGTCATATCAACTCCTGTTTCCTTTCTAACTTGCAATTAGTCAACCCCTCTAGGTTACACCTTACATTATACAATACATTTTTCGGGGACAAATTTTACCAGTATCTGATTGGTCTAAAGATTTCTTTGTTGAATATAATTACGATTGTACAGCAGCTCATGAAAATGAATCATCGAAAAGAAAATTATCTTTGCTATTTGTGCCTTTTTCAAATGAATGATCACTTGATATCTTGAAGTGATCAAGTTAATTTACCACTGTCATCAGCAGGAGAAATTTGAAGGAGGTAACTTCTTTCACTTATCTAGACAGAATGGTATAAAGTAAAGGTTGCATGAATGAAGATGTCAAAACCAGGATCGAGCAGGCAAAGACAGATCTTCACCAGTCTGAAATCAGTTTGGATGAAATCTTTTGCACTCAGCCTGAATATTAAAAAAACAATCCAGACATTTAACATCAAATATTAAGTAAATTCTTCTATATAGGACAGAAATTTGGTGGGTGTTCAAATAAAAGTGTCAACAGACGCGAACATTGAACGTTTGTTTATTGAGACTGGCAGCCATTGGCGGGTAACTCAAAGGCGCGAATGGTTCAATCGTGTAAAAGTTGGAAGAAGATGAACGAATACGAATAAAAGTACATTATATTTACTTGTAAAACATTTGTTTATAGACTTGTACTTAGCTAGACTTTAATTCCCAAACCATACAACTTTCTTAAAATACTGGTGTTTTGAAGTTAAAGTCGAGAAAGTCATAGTAATTCGGAGCGTCTTTGCAAATAATGGGAACTTAGGATTAAGTTCCTTGACAAAAAGACATTTCCAGCAGGCTACCGCAGACTTTCATCAACAGCTCCTCACTCCTCTGTTTACTGAAGACCAGATTATCAGTCAGAAAGTTTCAGTAGTAAGGAACTCTGAGAATAAGTTAACCAAGTACCTACTGACCAGCAAATGTACAGAAGAAAATGAAGATCTATGGAACACCCGCTGAGGAGGCCGTTGAGTGATATATCGTGTGTTGGGAAACAGCAAGTTGGGAGTCACTTCAAGTGTCACAATGCCGGGATTATATGACTATGAGATGAAAGTTTATCGAAAATTATGGGCCCATCTTAAGAAAACAGTAAAGAATAGGAGAAAATGGAGAAGTCCCGCACTGTTGACGCCCTGTGTTCCACTCGAAACAGCGCTAAGTTCGAAACGAAGTGGACGGACTAATGGAATTCTGAATGAATTAAATAACTGACTTTTTCTTGGTAACTTTAACTGTAATTGGTTCTCTCCGGAAACTTTTTATTTGTGATTGTGTTCAATTGTATTGTTATGAATTGTTGCGTTCACCTAACACTAGACCTTTCCCTTGTCAGTTGTTCTATATTGAAACAAGTAACAACCGTTAATAAAGAAGGATTTAATAAATTCATGAGATTTCGGTAGAACTACTCTACAGCTGAATACTCTACACGCAGATATATATATATATATACTATTAGAAATATAAAACTGATAAGCAAATAAACTACATTGAATTAATTAAAATTCAATTGATGGATGGTGACTAGTAGCAGAGGAATCCAGGATAAAGTGCATTTCGTCCTATTCAGGACTCGTTGGTGTCTGGATGTACCTGCATTCCACAGTGAGTGATGATGTTCCCACCACCGAGGCTCGAACTCAGTGTCCATAGCTTCAAATGCTAAAGCATTATCTACTAGACCACTTGGGCCACGAAGGCCACCTCTTGTGCAACAGGTTATATTAATTATTTAGTTGAATTCTAGATTATCCTGTTGATTGCTTGGACCGAACATCCAGATGACGAGTCGAAAATAAGACGAGGTGGGCATCCTGGATTCCACTGCTAGTGACCATCCACCAATTAACTTCTGATTGCATGCCCAGACATCGTCGAAGCATCTGAGCAAGAAGTCGAAATGTCAACCTGAGACCGAGTAATTCGGTTCAGTCAATCGACGGGAAAATCTAAAATTCAATCAAATACATCGACTTAATCTTGCAAAACGACACCTGTGTATGTTTTGCATGTCATGTTCAAATAGATAAGCGGTGGAAGGGAGTGTGAGAGATTAAAATTAAGATAAAATGCATTACGCTTCCATTACGTCACTTAGACAAACAATTAGTCATTTGAGAAAGTACTTAAATATATGAAGAACTGCGAAGTGAGTAATATAAATATTAATAGTTATAGTAATAATGCTGATAAAAGACAATTTTAAATGAACCAAGAATAATAAGAGGTAGAATAAGGTGTTAATGATATTAATGCTAATGATAAGAACAGTTAATAAGTAAAACGTATTACCATGGTAGATTCAGAGTGACGACCATCTCCTTTTGTACACAGAGACCTGGATTATAAACTCATAGTGCACAAGCCTCCACAGTTGCAAGCGTCTCACTGTTTCTTGATCTGCTAACAGCAGTGAATGACTTGACAGCGTCAATAGCACGTCCGTAGTCCACAAGGTGCTTTGTTATTGAACTTTTTGGCAATCGGATTTCAGGTGTTTTCAACCATTTTGGTGAATGCTCCGTCATGCGAGTAGACAATTACCTTTCTGTACGACCCACGTGTATTTGTTTCCACAAATACACTCATCAAATTGATATACGCAGCAGTTTGAAGTATCGTAGATTGGAGACTCGTCTTTCCCAGATTGTGGTATTAGGGACGACGAGTTCCGTAGCATAATAAGTTCTCTGGATAGCTTTTACTACTCTTCAGTTCATTATGTCTTGTAGATCATCTCCTTTGAATGACCGATTCATATGGGCAGATTTCTTCGGAACCGTTTGGATAGTTTTCCAGGAGCTCATTCCCCTTGAGTATTTATTAATGAACTTCTCAAGACATCCATTTTTAGATAAAATAGAATTCAATTTCTTTAATTCATATTCAATTGGACTGTCGTGAAAAAAGATTTTCGTGCTGTATTGGACAGTGTTCTGACTAAGTCTGGATTAAAACAAAGCTTTTAAAATGTATGCACTGTCCTGTCTTGTCCATGAACAGTTTCTAAATATTGATCTTTCGATTATGTCATCAGTCCTTTTCACTAGAGTTGTGTGTTGTTTGGTGAATTTAACTGCCGATTGATCTGACTACTAAGTTTTTAAGAATTTTTCTAGAAGCTCTTCGTGTTCCATCTAGCTGCGAGTGATACACCACCTTAGAGGAGTTGGTACACTGGTATGAAGCAATCCATATCATATAATTTAATTGGTATTTTGTGTTCTCGTGAATGTGTAGATGAAGCGATGTCTGCTTTGACCGATATTTTTTATGAATGAAGTTGGTTTGTATTCTTTCACAGTTAATTCTTTTGGTCTGTTTAGAGTGTGGGGTGAGGCTGTTAAGTTAATTTGCAGATAATGTCTGGCACTGGTTACATAAATACGGTTTGCGATGCCTAGTTACTAAAGATTTCACAAGCTTTAGAATACATCCCGAAAACAATTTTAGATTTTCCCGTCGACTGATTGGACCAAAGTGTTTGGTCTCAAGTTGACATGTCGGCTTCTTGTACAGATGCTTCTACGATATCTGGTGACTAGCGGTGGAATCCAGGATAAAGCACATTTCGTCCTATTTGGGACCAGTTTGTGGCTGGATATATCTGCATTCCGCAGTGAGTGATGATGTTCCCACCACCGAGGCTCAAACTCAAAGCTTTAATTAATAATATGACCCGTTACTCAAGAGGCAGTGGCTCTCGTGGGCCAAGTGGTCTAGTTTATGACGCTTTGCCATTTGAAACTATGGGCACTGGGTTTGAGTCTCGGTGGTAGGAAAATCATCACTCACTGCAGAATGCAGGTATATCCAGCCACCAACGAGTTCCAAGTAGGACGAAATGCGCTTCATCCTGGATTCCACTGCTACTAGTCACTATCCACCAATTGACTTCTAATTACATGTTCAGACATCGTTGAAGCATCTGCACAAGAAGCCGATATGTGAACCTGAGACCGAGCACTTCTGTTCAATCAATCGACGGGAAAGCCTAAAAATGAATTAAGAAATCATATCATGATTAAAAATTTGAAAAACCAAACAAATCTCAATTAAAAATGATAGTGGGAAAAATGAATTTCTCGTAAAGTATTCTCCTTTTTTTGATTTACCTGTTCAACTAAATAACTGACAAGTTTTTCATGATTGTAAACAGCAGCTAAGTGAAGCGGTGTATAACCATTTTTATCTGGCATTTCTAATACCGTGGATCTAATTGACGGGTCTGCTTCAAACATTAATTGAACACATTCTAGATCATCTTTCATACATGCATAGTGTATCGGTGTTGAATTGTCGTTTTGTTTAGCCAAAATGAAGGCATTCTTTTCTAAACAAAACTAATGATTATATAGAAAAAAAAATATCAAAGGAGACAAAACCATATATGAGTGAAAGTGAGGGTGACAAGCTGTTGTTACAATATTACAAATTCATGAATTTATAGTCTCCACTGAAAGCCAGTCAAGGCAGTAGTAGTGGCTGGACCTTCTTCTTTTACACGCAAAGCACTGGTTGTTTGGGGCAAATTGCAATAGCATCTGCTGTTTGGAGCACGCAGTACCTGTATGTTTTTGGTAATTTATTAGGCACCCGGTAGATGATGGAGAAGGATTCTTCAATGCTGGCTGGCTCTGTGGCCGACCAGTTTGGACCGGATGTTCTAATATCGAACTGTTAATGGCTTGATGACCACTCCATAAATTCGAGCATCTACCAATTCGAGATTATAGCGCGGCAGACAGCCAATGTCAGCGGCCAATATCTGTCCTCGTACCCAACCTGCTGTACCCCACTGATCACGACTTCTAGCTAGAACCCAGGTAACCAATCTGAGGCTAACGAGCAATTGGCCCTATTAAGGTATTTAGTTACCTGGGATTCTAGTGGGAAGTCGTGAAAAGTAGGGTACAGCAGGTTGGGTGTGAGGACAAATGTTCGCCACGGATGACATTCGCCAGTGGTCGCACCATATCGTGAATTAGCAGAAGTTGGAATTCATGGGCTGGCCATTGGATCGGGTCCCAGTGGCTGAATGGTACATAAGCTCACTTTTTGATCAGAAAGTCCTGACTTCAAACCCAGGAGTGTGGGTGCGTGCTGCCGATGATTCCCAAACTAGGATGAAACAGCTATCCAGTACTCCCTGCAGGTTCTCCAATGGTTCTCTATAACCGATATCAGCTCATGATGAAATCCTGTAACCAATTCAGTTCTCTATTTCTAAATTACACATTTTGAGGTGGGAGTTTCAAACTACGTCTTCCTTTGGAAACCCAAAATATGTGAACCACAATAAAACTTCATAACACTACAAAATAACAAGCAATTCGGAAAGCAAGCTAAATTGCAGAACGACATATACTACTAGCTGGTTGAAATGAGTAGTTAGTTTGAAACCACTCACATTAAGCAGTTTTTTTTATTCCTTTACGTTCCCAGTGAAACATAGGAACCTTCAAGCTACAGGCTTGAAGTTTCGAAAGCAGGGGCTTTTATTTTTACGGGATGGATGGGGTTGCCAGCCACCTCATGCTCCACCTTCCCCCTTTACCAGTCTTATTTACAGGCTTAGCGAAGTAAAAGAGTGCGTCCAGACCACATATGTGGTTGGCGAGCATTCTGCCAATGAATAAAACATCAGTGAACATATAAAGCCAGTTGCGCCTGCTAGTCAGGTCATTTACAACCGAGAATATCATCTACGTACCTGCATTATCTGAGCCAAGTAAGTTGAACCATTTGAAACTATCCGAAATTCTAACTAGTTACTTGAAGAAACCAGAAATACAATAGGATCAAATAATAAAACTCAGTTTCCTCAGTCTCTCCAATAGTTGCTGACCTTTTCATGATTAGATTCGAAGATAACATCTTTTCAAGCATACTCACGCCTAAAATATGGTTAAGATATGTAGATGATACTTTTGTAGAGCCAAAACGAGATCTACACAATTCATTCATGGTGAAAATAAACAGTCTATCTCCCAGAATCCAGTCTACTTCGGAAGCAGAATCAGACGTCGGTGAACTACCATTTCTAGACTGCCCAGTTAAGAGGAAGAAAAACGGACCTTTTAGTATATCTATATTCAGGAAGAAAACCCATCCCAACAACAAATATTTAGACTTCAAATCATCACACCCCATCAGAGCAAAGGTGTCAGTTGTTTCAAGTCTTCTTAGAACAGCACACTCTTTGATGATAACGGATGAGGCAGAAAAAGAAGAGGAAATATCAAACATTACTGAAATTCTCAAGCTAAATAACTACCCAAGGAACTTCGTCAACTGAAAACGTATTCCGAAGACATAAGCCTCAGCAGTTGTCATTCCATATGGAGCAGAGACGTCAGACGATATCAGAAGAGTACTCAATAAGCTTGACATCAAAGTTTTCTTCAAAACATCAAAAACACTGCGAAAAAATCCTGTCCATATAAAAGATCAAATCCCTAAAGATTCTCTATCTAATCATGTTTATAATAATATAAAATGTTTGGAATGTGATGCGGTATACATCGGACAGACATCTCGAGAAATCAAAATCAGAAGAAATGAACACCGTAGAGCATCTGTTCGACCACCGAGAAATCCAGCTGAACTAGAAAAACTTGAAAAATCATCAGCCATAGGTTAAAATGCTATAGAATCAGGTCACAAAATTGAATTTGACAATATTGAAATCATCATCCAGAAAAAGCAGTTCAGAAATCACAGAGAACGCCTAATGTCATCAAAATTGCTTCATATCAAGTGGAATCCAAATTGTCTCAATAGAAATGATGGACTGAAACAGAATCTGACCTGGTAACAACACCTCCCTCCACCATGAAATGACAAAATCGGAACGAATGGGATAAGCAATTTCATTATGTAAACACACACTGCTTTTGTAATTTTACGCACTTATCAAATCCAACAATCTATACCTGGTTTTGTTATCTTTACCACCTGGTCAATTCGGCAACGCAAAAATGATCTCATACTGAGGAACGATGATTAAGTTTGGTTTATATAAGCTGGGTGGATTTTGTAAATTCTGGTTTAATAATATTACTTTGATAAAGCTATTAGCAGCAGCATTAAATACCGAAACGTCAGTAAAACCAGCAATATCGTTTTGTTTTTCATTCATTGGGAAATACAAGAAAACCTTTATTATAATGAATATCACATATACCCAATGCCGAAATATTTTGTCAAACTGTTAAAAGTGAACTTGATCTGGACATACATATATAAGATATTAATTTTTATAATTCTAAATTGTCCCTAATATTCGCTTACTTTTACCATATCTGAATTCCCCGATGTCACTGCTGTATGCAATGGAGTCTCACCTTCACAATCGATTAAGTCAATTAAATGAAAACATTCATACTGTTGACCACTACTAAGACTTCGTTGTAATGATGATTGAGGTGATGTCATCAACTGCCTTCTCAACTCATTTGATTTATGACTGTTTAATTGACTTTCAATATCTACTGTCTGTATAGCATTATTAACTGACAATGACGATGTACTTCGATGTCTATCTGGTAGGGGTGAACAAGTATAATAAAAGTTGTTGTTATTATTATTATGACTACTGCTCAGATTGGATGATTGTTTCGTCGTTGTATTCATAAGTTCTTTCTCTTTGTTCAACTTTTCCTCCATTTGAAATAAAGCGTTTAAACACTTGCGACTGACATTAGCAATAGCAACGTGTACAGGATAGGTTGATTCGAGATCTCGGGCAAATATATTTGCTCCTTTGTTCAACTAATCAAAGAGAAAAACGAAACAAAACACAAAGATAAATGAAAAGAACATTTGAGTAGATGAACTTTATATCTATTTCCATCATTAATAACAGTAATACTTGAATAAAGCAAGAACAAGAGTATAAAATTGGTGGATGGTGACTAGCAGTGGAATCCAGGATAAAGTGCACTTCGTCCTACTTGCGATTCGTTGGTGGCTGGATGTATCTGCATTTCCCAGTGAGTGATGATGTCCCCACCACCGAGGCTTGAGTCCAGTGCCCATAGTTTCCAGCATCATCACTCACTGCCGAATGCAGGTACATCCAGGCATTAACGAGTCCCAAATAGGACGAAATGCGCTTTATCCTGGGTTCCACTGCTAGTCGCCATCCATCAGTTAAATTCTAATTACATGCCCAGGCATCATCGAAGCATCTGCACACGAAGTTGACATGTCAACCTAAGACCGAGCACTTAGGTCCAATCAATTGACGGGAAAATCTAGAATTCAGTAAAATCAGAACAACAGTAGTTTGTGCAGAATAAGATGATGGTGCCATCATTGAAGTTTATGTACAGAACAAGGCGATAAGCGCTTGTGCCAGTACTAGGCACTTCATGAACATGGATCATGATGTGGATATCAGGAAATCCATGAAAATTACCTGTAGATAAAATAGCTCAATTCCCATCAGAAATCGTTCAAACTCTAGGCTAACTAACTAATTCATATGAAATCAAAATGAAGCTGAATAACATTCAATTAGAGAATAATGAAAAAATGGTTAGTTTTGGTATAACTACTCTTTATACTAATATACCAATCAATATGGCAGCTTTAGAAGCAGTTAAAAAAGAACTAACTGCAGATCCTGAACTCACGCAGAGAACGAAGCTGCACGTTGAGGAAATTATTTTAGGAATTCAGTTATGCCTCATATCTACCAACTTTAAATTTCAGGGCAAAATATATAGAAAAACAGACGGTGTAGCAATGGCATGGATCAGCAATATCCCCTATCGTAGCAGATATCTTCATGGACAGCTGGGCAAATATTGCTGTTAATAAATTTAATCCTACTCCAAAGATATGTGGATGACACTTTCACAGTGTTAAAAACAGAACGTATCTCTCTCTAGCTTCTTGACTCATTTAAACTCACTAGTAGAAGGAATAAAATTTACATTTGAATCAGAAAATGAACAAGGAGAATTAGCTATGATGTTGGATTGTAAAATCAAACGAACAGAAGAAGGTAGACTGCCCACTAGCGTTATTAGGAAGATCAGAAAACGTCAAAAGAAAAAGAAAAATAGTGGTGAAACTAATAATGAAAACATAAATAAGAGAGAATATAAGGCATCTACAGTTTTACCATATAAGGAGGGGACATCTGAGAACCTACGTAGGATTCTCAATAAAGCAGGAATTAGGGTGGCATTCAAACGTACAAACTCACTAAGATAGGACAAGCTCTGTAGGCTAAGGAACCTGGTGGACCCAATTAGACAAAATAATATAATTTACAAAATACCTTGCAATGACTCTGAGTGAGGCAAACTACATAGGCCAGTCAAACTTGTAGATCGGCGGTAGGCAGATTGTCGGAACATAAAAATTAAGCTAAGGTTAGAATGATTGATCCCACGAAGATAAGCAATTTAGAGGAAAACTCAGCACTGCATGCATTAACACACATATACACAATAGAGCTAGTGGGACAGAGTCAAAATTCTAAAAAGTAATATAGGTAGGTGAGTTGAGAGATAGAGATTGATTACTGAATCCTGGTTTATCGAGTCTAAACCCAACACATGCAACAGAAATGACTCAATGCAAATACCACAGATATGGAAGATATTATTACAACCAGTCAAATCAGAGGAGGATAATAAATAATCTTAAAATTTTCAACTCAAAAGTGAAGTCAGTGCTACTGTACGCATCAGACACTTAGCGCTGCGTCACGTAGGGTGATCCGAACAAACTATAGACTTTCATCAACGGCTGTCTTCGCTCAATACTACTCAAGATCAGATGGCTGGCCAGAAAAGATCAACAACAAAAATCTCTAGCAATGAACGAACCAACACAACAGGAACCGATTTTGCAACAAATATGCAGGAAGAAATCGAGGTGGATTGGATTTTGGCCAAACTCTGAGAGAACAAACCATCAATTGCTTGACATCACACGCCAAGCCATTGGTCGAGTGGAACCCGAATGGGAAGCGGCGAGTTGGTCGTCAGTGGAAGGGTGACATGCAGGAGGAGGTGATGTGAAGAGGAGATGAAAGCATGTGGGCAGACGTGGAACCAGGTGATGAAAACGTTGTCAGAGAACCGAACGGAATGGAGACGTACGGCTGAAGCCCTATGTCACTCTAGGAATTAAAGGAAACAATAATAATGATATGAAAAATAATAAAATCCAACTCACAAGTAACTGCATACATTCAACACTGTCACGAATACAACAGTAGTGCAATGGAGAGGCTCCTCGTTCACCTTCTGCATTCACATCGACAATATCTAATTCCAACAATACCTAAAACAGAAGTATGGAGAGGTAAAAAAATAACCTATGAGACCCTTAAGCAAAAGCGAAGTTTAAAAGTAGCTGTGCAAGCTACCAAAGAAGGGCAACTTACGCCTCACTCTGCAAGAACTGGCGTGGAATCATGCTCTCGTCCACGCCAAGTAAAATACTAAGTCACATCATCCTGGGAAGGATACAAGATACACTGGATGCACAACTCCACCAGCTCGGAATAAGCTGGATTCAGAAAAGGCAAATCATGTACTGATCAAATTGCAACTCTACGCATCATCATCGAACAAAGCATAGAATGGCAGTCAAACCTGTAACTTAACTTCGTCGGCTTTAAAGGGCCTTCAGCCGCATCGACCGTGAAGTAATTTGGGGACTACTTCAACGCTATGGAGTTCAGTGCCCCAAATACTTATCAACCTCACTCAAAGGCGATATGACAGTCCCACATCACGGGCGATCCAAAAAGGAAACCTTAACTGGGTGTCTGAATTGAATGCAGGAGTAAGACAAAGCCACCTGGCTAGTATCACCGGTGATATTCCCAACTGTGGTGGACTGGACTGTGCAGCACACCATGTGTGGGGAGTGAGAAGACAGAGATACGCTGAACTGACCGATAAGAAGACTCTAGAACATCTGGATTTCGCAAATGATTTGTGTTGAGTGCCATACAAACTCAAAGACCAACTAACAAACTGGTAAAAGAAGCAACTAAGATAGGACTTCAAGTAAACACAGAGAAGGTGGAGGTAATGGAGACAACCAACCGACCAACAACAACAACCAGCATCAGTCTGTATAAAGGGGAGAGATGTGACAGAGGTTACTTCTCTCACTTATCTGACTAGTAAGCATGATTTCAACCACAGACAGTCGAAACGGATGAAGATATCAAAGCTGGTCAGAGTCGGAAAGTGATAGGATCCCACACACTTTGTTATTGTTCAATTATTTTAACAACTGTTAATCTCGCATAAGTGGTACATCATCATTTCCCATGCATTTTGTTATTGACTATTACGACCAATTATTTCAAATACTGTTAGCTGTCTGTATTGGTTGTAAAAATGTATAAATACCATTTCCTAAATAAGTTTTTTTGTCGTAGTTTGTCGTAGTTGTTGTACTACAATATACAGTCACAGAACAGCCTTTGTCTTTTGATATTTGCGTGGTTCGCTGAATCGGAAGGTACCAGAAGCAGATAGGCATATCAGTCAGGCGCAGACAGAACAAGGCGACAACGTCCTCATTTAATTCCGCTACAGTTATAACAGAAAGGCAAGGCAGCACACCTTCATCAACCTGAAACCAGTTTGGAAATGTTCTGTACTCACCAAGCCAGCCAGCATAAACAACAAGATTCCCATTTTTAACACCAATATCAAGTCGGTCCTTCTATATGGGTCAGACACTTGGTGAGTATGTCCCGAAGACGATTTCCAACAGCCTGTTGCAGACCTTAATCAACAGCTGCCTCCTTCGCTGACTGGCTCCATACTGAAGATCAAATGGCCGACTGGCCAGAAAGAATAAGTCACAAGAAAATCTGTCTGGGGAGAAACCAACTGGAGTGAGACTATTGCTCAACAAATATGTGGGGGAATATGGAGATGGATTAGGCATACATCGAGTAGACCGTTGAATGACATCGGGTGCCAGGCCAGTCCTCGAGTGGAATCCAAATGGGAAGTGATGAGTGGGTCGTCGGTGCTAGGGGGATATGGAGGAGATCGTGTAACCAGGATGAGACCAGAGATTAGGGGGAATTGTAGGTAGTTTAGTGAGAGGGGAACATTGTCACCTATTTAATTGCATGCAATGTTGACCAAGGTAATGAAAACGGCTGCAAAAATTTTCTCCGAACACACGTTTTCTCCTTCTTCAGATGGATTTTGATGACCTCCGCTTAATGTCGAAGACGAACTCGTAAAGCAAAATTATTGTCGATTGGAATATGACAGATAACTTTAAATGCCTTGTTCACATCAGTTTTGATGTTCAGTATCATCTATAAGGTGTGTTAATCCCTGGTTTAACCATACAGGATGGTGTTTGGAAGTCTGGCAATGAACTTGCCCAACTCTACGCCGAATGTAACTGTTTCTACAAGACCAGTCTAACTACTCGCGCTGTATGAATTCCATAAGTCAAGTTTTCAAACTGGTTATCAAGTTAGGCAACTTGCCATCACCATAAAATTTAAAGTGATGTTAGACAGCTGTAGGCGATTATTAACCGGAAACCGTGGACATCGGTCTCATATTATTATTATTATTATTACGATTTCATGAATAATAATGCATAGCGTCTTTTTTCTGTTTATAAAACAAAATGATTGAGCAAAGAATATCCTATTTCGATAATTTCCTCTTCTGGCTCTACAATTACAAATATCTGTATGTTTATTTACATAGAATATTCTAGAATAGTAGTCAATAACAATATTAGTGTTTTTTAAATAGTATCGATTTGTAAAGTAAGATCATAATGGAACTACGGTTCATTAAAGATGCTTAAATTATAATAATAATATAAAAGCAAATAGAATATCAACTAAAATTAAGGAAATTTTTACAAAAAAGTGAGGATCGTTCGAACCTAGATGGCCAAGGTAAGGACAATGTCTGAACCAACCAGCTTTTTTTCGACACATAAATTAAGCTTCATAATGTGGATCCCAACAACCAGCCCCAGCAATATGTAGTAGATGAACTCTTAAGGTGAAGTTAAGATTTGTTGGTATGCGGTAAATAACTTTGAAAGTCGCCTCGTTGACATCAATCTTGTGTTGTGTATCCACAAGATGAGATAGAATAGCGCCAGGAATAGATTTTGTTTGTCCTTTACTTGACCAACCACTCAGGGTGATGTTCGGAAATTCGACGAGAATCACGCCTAGTTGTACGGCCTATGTAACTAGCTGGCTCCACAGGAGCGAAACTAGGCAGTTTGTTTTTTACTCCCGAAGGCAAATTGCGGGTGGTTTTGGAGACAGCGTAATTCAGCAGCAGAGAATGCTGTTTTCACCGCATTTCTAAGGTGCTGTGTTAGTATCTCGCTGATGTTGTCCTCAAGGAACTGCATTTGTAAGAACAAGACTTTTTGGGGGAAGTGTTGGTACCTTAGGTTTCTTTGATTTTAGATTCATGTTCTTATCAATAAACTTTTCTGGATAACCATTCTCACTCAGCAACCGTTTAATATTATTAAGTTCCTCATGAAGACATTCATCTAATCAGATTGTTCTGGCTCTGTGAACCAAGCACTTTGTCAGATTGCCTTTGTATTTCAATGGCATGAAGCTGAAAACGTGAGTATACTGACAGTCAGTTGATGTAGGTTTTCTATATACACTTCTTCTTATTGTGCCATCCTCCTTTCTGGTCATAAGAACGTCTAGAAATGAAATACTGGAGTCTTTCTCTTTCTCAATAGTAAAATTTATTCAATGGATGAACATCATTAAATTTGTCCAGGATGTTCTTTGCTTCATCCTCATTTTTCATAATCAAAAATGTATCATCCATGTACTGACAATAGAATTCAAGTGTATCAACGAATCCATATTATTTTAAAAAAACACCAATATTGTTATTGACTACTATTCTAGAATATTCTGTGTATATAAACATATATATAATCGTAGAGCTAGAAGAGGAATGTATTGAAAAGGGGATATTCTTCCTTGCTCAATTATTTTGTGTTTTATAGATGCCTGAATGAACATTGTTTTCTGTTTTTCATAAGTATACTGAGGTATTTTCTACAGTGTAACGATTAGCCGCTGAGTAGAAGCCAACTTCATGTGTCCGGCAGTCAGTGTTGATCCTGGCCGGATGCTATAAATCAGCTATGTTGAATGGTTGTAAGCAATCAGTAGGAAGACCACCACCACAACCACCTAGGTCTCGCGATGGTTCCCATTCGTTGAAAGGGTGAATTTGCAGTCTTAAAGTAACTGGTGTCGAAAAATTCAACAAAAATATTTCAAATCATTCCAATGAATCACCGATGAATAAGCTCCTGGCGCAACACCAGCACATATAACTTCAGATTAGAAGGCGGGGGAATGTTAGAATTACATCGGGCTGAGGGTTTTTGTGCGCACCAGTGATTTAATAACAGATTCTTTGCCAACCACACGGAAGATCCCAGTTCAATACCCAGCTGATGCATAACAAGCCCAGAAAAGAGGGGAAGTGATGAAAAAAGTGTCATATAATAATACCCAACTGATTTCTCATTTACCTTTAATATTTCCACATGATTTTTTTCACATGATATGTGGATTGGTAAAAGACCATCTTTATTCGGTATTGTAGGATCAGCGTCAACACTAAGCAAATAACGCACCATTGACAGGTGTCCTTCTTTAACAGCTAAATGTAGTGGCAAATTACCGCTTTCATCTGGTTCATTTACTTCTGTTAAACAAATTTTTGAGAAAATATTGAAACATTGAAAAGCAAACTTTATAAACAGAGCTAAAAATATTAGTTCGAGAATGAAGATATCGTTTTCAGTAAAGATAATAACAAGAAATACATTTCGCGGATCAGTGCGCATTTCTTCAAAATCCTTACGCCTTTATGACTGTTTTCAGAATGAATTTCCTAAAGTTCTAGAGCCAAACGTCTAGTCACTGAGGAGGAGGAAGAGATTAGCAAGGAACTAAAATTGGTTCAATCCGCTATTGAATCAAATAATTATCCGAAAGACTTCATACAAAAAAGATATTTAAAATGTTAAGATAACGATGGATCGGATGAAACCTGTTGCTAAGAATAAGGTGCGTACAGCAGTATTCCTTTCCGCAAACAGACATCGGATGAGATAAAGCGAATCCTTAACGATCAAGGCAAACATAAGAGTGTATTTTCGTGCAACTAACACCTTGCGCTCATCACCACTAGTGAAGGTAAAGGATAAAATAGAAGAAGGAAACCAACAGAATTGTGTGTACCAGATCAGTTGTGGGGACTGTGATGCCGTTGATGTAGGAGAAACTTCCAGACAAGTAAATATAAGAATGAACATAAGAGCACAAACAATGTTTAAAGGTGGTTCTATAGACCTCTGAAGACTTAAAGGAGCTAGAAAACAGATCAGCGATTGCACTGTATTCGATAGAAATGGGACACAAATTCGACTGTGATAGAACTGAGGTTCTACAGAAAGGTTTTGGTTGGTATAAAGAAAGACTGACTGTGAAAGCCCTACATGTATGAGTGAATCCCAACAGTTTGAACGGATGTGAAGGTGTGATGATAGCTGATGCATGGCAAATCCTGATTATCAAGTGTTGGTTTGTAGGGATTTGCTTGATTGGTTACAGGATTTCATCATGAGCTGACATCAGTTAGAGGACCATTGGAAAACCTGGGAGTACTGGACAGCTGTTTCTTCCTAGTTTGGGACTCTTCCGCAGTACGCACCCACCGGGATTCGAACCCAGGACCTTCCGGTTACAAGGCAAGCTAGCTCGTAGACCATTAAGCCACTGGAACCTGATCCAGTGGCCAATGCATGAATTCCAACCTCCTCCCTAGTGGCTTAATGGTCTACGAACTAGCTCACTTTGTAACCAGAGGGTCCTGGGTTTGAACCCCATAGTGTGGGTGTATACTGCTGAGGAGTGCAAAATTAGACTAACGAAACAGCTGTCCAGTACTCCCTGCCGGTTTTCCAATGGTCCTCTAACTGGTATCAGTTTATGATGAAATCCTCAAAACAATCAGATCGAATCCCTGAAAACCAACACTTGTATACTACTATGTATACCACGAATTAGGAATTCAGTACCAAGAGTGTATAGTTTCCACAATTGCTGAAACTCTTCAATAATGTATATCTACAACTTTTGGTAAATTTACTATCCTCATGATTCAGGTTGATTTTTCACACTGACAAAGTTGTCGAATGTAAAACACTTTAGCTGTTAAAATAAGATGTTTTAATAAAGGAAGGAAGACCAGATTCGTAGTATAAAATGATATCATCATTCTATTTCACAGATTCCCCTCATCAGCTGCAGACGACCACCTGATATTACAATCGTTATAAATAATGACAATAAATAAAATTAGATGTTTGAAAGATAGTAAGGATTAATTTTGTTGATCACGCATTGATATCAGTTAGAGAACCATTGAAAACCAACCAGGGAGAACTGGACAGATGTTTCCTCCATCCTAGTTTGGGAGTCATCGGCAGCACGCACCCACCGCCATGGCTCAAACCCAGGAACTTCCGGCTACAACGCAAGCTCGTATACCATTCAGCCACTGGGACACCATTCAATGGATGTCCCACCAATGACATTAGTTGGTGGTCGTGCTAACTCACGAATTGGTAGAAGCTAGAATTCATGGGCCATTGAATAAATTAATTAGGTGAAATCTTAAGAGTTACGTAATACTAAAAGTGAAGTGGACAGATAATCAGAGTTTAAATAAATATCATAAAAGTACGAAAGAAATGGAAAGCAAGAAGAGGTGGAAAAGTCTTAATTAAACTTTAAACAGGCAAAGCAAGGGAGAGACAGAGGTAGAACAAACTTCTTTTGTATGCAAAGACTAGGAATGTTATCTCGAAGTAATTCCCATAGCTTCGGTTGTGTTTAAAAGGCAGATTCGAATTCCGTCAGAAGGGCTCGATGGAATGCGATAGATAACTTTGAAGGTACTTCTTCTTCTGTCCACTTGGTGACCACTATCATCAATCGAATGAGTGAAAATAGAACTTCTTATATATTTTATTTGGCTTTTTCCGCTTGTCAGTCTGTCTAGTTGTTTGCCCTATATAACCGGCTTTCTCTGAATGAGCAGTTAAATCTGTAGATACAGATAGAATTTGCACAGCTAGGTGGCTTTTCTTTAGCTTGAGCATTCATAATTGGTCGGCATTAGGATCGATATCACTTGTCAATGATGTTAGAGCACATACCTAGTTGACCATAATTTGACAACCAACCTTTAGGTGCTAAATTGACTTCGTGGTCGGATTTGTATATCTCAATGACTCAACAAGCTACACTGGATTGAATAAATATTCCTATGGGTCTAATCATGCCAAGAAAGTCGTTTGGATAGCGGCTGGACTAAAAGCAGTTAGCATCATAGTTGTTTACAGTGTGTCAGGCGTCGAACTGCTGCAGTGTGCTTCCTGCTCTGGAGGTGAGAGGTTATAAATGGCAAACCCCGAAAATTGCACATCTCGACTTACCTCGCAGCAGTTTATAATCACCTGTAAGATATTAATACGAAAGCTACTCCAAACGGACCGTAGGTGATTAACGTCAAGCAGTTGTTCCTAGGGCTGTGTGGCTCATCAGCACTAATATTCTTTCTATTTCAGGTACCTCAAGAAGAAACCAGCTTCCACTTTGTGGGAAACTAAACATTTAGCCCTATCCATACCGTTTCATAAGCATTTACATAGGTCATATGAATAGATCATACGTGTAATAAGTGAAAATGCTTTAAGAAAAATTATCTAACTTACTGGCTTTATGCGTCATGAGTACTTTTGCACAATTCAAATGACCTTTCATTGCAGCATAATGTAACAGAGTGCGTTGACTTGAATCGTGCTGATTTAGAACAGATGGATTATATGATAAAATTTCGACCAGTTTAGCAATTTCATTTGATGCCACATACTAAGGTTTGTAAAAAAAGCATAAGGAAAGTTTTAAAAACCGTGTTAAACATTCTATGAGTGAAAATATATATATGTATATGTACGGTATAAGTTTAATCTACAGAAATACCATGGAAGATCCAGACTTCGCGAATGGTTTACAACTTGGCAAAAAATTCGCAGAAAAGATAGAAAAGACAAGATTTTAGGTGAGCGCAAAGAAGACAAGGTTGATGAAGCCATATTAATATATGTGTAAAACCTGGGCACTGTGGTAGTAAGTAATTCCATATTAGTTTGTTTATTAGATGTATCACAAAGTAAAACAGTATTATTTACTGAATGACAAAGTTTCGAATAAAATTCGTTATTGTTCATAATCATATCATCAATTATAATCACACGACTTCGAAACTTGAGTTTTATAGTTTTCTTTATTCTCTCCTATTTATCGTCATTGGAGTAGTAGGATTTTCCAGATATCTGAATGGACAGGTGTTGAATCATTTGCAGTTGGTTCGACAAATGAAGCTTCCGTTACCAATCTCTCCCCTCACCCTGTTACATTAGATTTTAGAACTGTCATCTTATTGCATCCTATTGTATGTTCTTGTGTAATTGCATGTAGGTATGTGGACTTCCGATCATCCCATCCTATGTCAGTGAAATAGGATTGGTGAGATGTTTAAGTGACAGAGCACAAAAACTAAGTAGTACCAAGGAAAATCTAAGACAGGAAGTGAAGCATATAAGAGAAGCCTTGAAACCCAATAATTATCCTGATAAATTAGTCAAAAGGTGTGGTGTGGACATTTTCATAAACGTTTAGCATTTATATTATACACTATTCACATCTTTCATTTTTGTTTAAACCAGATTCTATACTGGAATTATAGAACGAATAAAGCCTTTATTGCGGGCCCTCAATATTCTCACTTGATCGGTGAATGTTTGATTAACTCATAAACACTACAATTTATTCGTTTTATTATGGACAAGATATTACGTCCTGAACGCTTTGATGCTGATTCCAATTGCCAAACATCTTCGAAGATTTGGAATCATTGGTTTCGTACATTCAACACTTTTATCACTAAATCTTCAACTCCAGATTCAGACAAACTTGATGTTCTCATCAACTATATCTCACCTACTGTATATGAATACATTGCTGAATGTAAAACATTTGACGGCGCTCTTAGTACTCTTGAGAAACTGTATGTCAAACCAAAGAACGAGATTTTCGCTCGACATCTATTATCCACATGCAAACAAGAAACTGGACAGAGCCTCGACCAATTTTTACAAAAACTGAAATCTCTGGCAAAAGATTGTTCATTCAAACCTGTCTCGGCTGAACAAAATCAGAATGATGCAATACGTGACGCATTCATAAGTGGAATGCAATCTAATAATATACGACAACGTCTTCTGGAAAACAAATTACTTGATCTTGATACTGCTTATGAACAAGCTCGATCCCTAGAAATGGCTTATCAACAATCACATTCGTTTCATCCTTCCGAATTCTCCAATTCTGCTGCAATATTAAACAGTGATACATCAAATGAACTAAACTCTTATGTGGGTGAAACAGGATTGACTGCTTCAATAAATGAGAAATGCTACTTCTGTGGATTTACTAGACATCCTCGCTCTAAATGTCCTGCAAGGGATGCAGTATGCAAACTCTGTGGTAAGAAGGGGCATTGTCAGAAGGTCTGCCGGTCAAAATCGTACACCAAAACTACATCAGTTACTAGTTCTTTGTTGTCTTCCATGACTCTAGCCGCCGCTCCACAGTCTCTCTCCAATGCGGTTGTGCAGCTTTTTGTAAATGACATTCCCCCACAAGCCCTCGTAGATACCGGGAGCTCAGACAGTTACATTTCTTGTGCAGTCGTTCAAAAACAACATATAAAGGTAGAGCATTCTCGCACTTCAATCACAATGGCTTCCACAAGTCTGACAACTCATACTCATGGTCACTGTTATGTAAATCTACGTTATAAAGACTCGAGTTACTCATATATCAAACTTTCAGTGTTGCCAAATCTGTGTGCTGATGTGCTATTAGGTCATGATTTTTTACGCTTGCATAATAAACTCGAAATTCCATTTGAAGGTAAAAACAATCCATTTTCACTGTGTAATCTTGTTGCTGCACATATTGATCCACCTCCCTTGTTTCATAACCTAACACCCAAATGTGTTCCGATCGCTACAAAATCACGAAGACATTCCACTTCAGATGAACATTTCATCAAGCTGGAAATCGAAAATTTACTCAGTGAGCAGATCATCGAGCCATCTAACTCCCCTTGGCGCGCCCAAGTTTTGGTTACTACTAATGAACGCCACAAGCGTAGAATGGTGGTTGATTACAGCCAAACGATAAATCGTTTCACATTATTGGATGCCTATCCACTCCCAAAAATTGATGAGATGATTGAAAAGATTTCAAAATATACTGTATTTAGCACTTTGGATTTAAAGAGTGCTTACCATCAAATACCCATCAAAGAAGAAGAGAAACTCTTCACAGCTTTTGAAGCTTGCGGCAACCTCTATCAGTTCCGTCGTATTCCCTTTGGTGTCACAAACGGTGTTTTGTGTTTTCAGAGAGTTATCAGTCAGATTATCAGAAATGAAAATCTTCAAGCTACATTTGCTTATTTAGATAATATAACTATTTGTGGTGAAAAGACAGAACAACATGCAAAAAAATCTTGCCCGGTTCTATGAAGCATCCAGAAAATATGGGCTAACATTCAATGAGAATAAAAGTGTTATTGGCGTTAAACAAGTAAAACTTCTAGGCTATGAAGTTTCTCATAAAATGATCAAACCTGATCCCGATAGACTTCAAGCATTATGGAATTTATCACCTCCACGAGATCTTAAATCCCAACAGCGAGTCATTGGTCTCTTTGCGTATTATTCACAATGGATATCTCATTTCTCCGATAAAATTCAACCCCTTATACAAAATAAAATCTTTCCATTACCAGGTACTATTGTAAGCTCATATGCAGCATTAAAAAATGAACTTGCTCAATCTGTGATGACTACTGTGGATCTCGACTTGCCCCTTATAGTTGAAACCGACGCTTCGGATACTGCTATAGCTGCCACGTTAACACAAAATGGTAGACCCGTTGCATTTTTTTCCAGAACACTATCATCAAGTGAACGGCATCACTCAGCGGTGGAGAAAGAAGCTTATGCCATCGAAGCTATTAGAAAATGGCGTCATTATTTACTTGGTACTCATTTCCAACTCATTAAAGACCAACGATCAGTTTCTTTCATGTACGATATGAACCACCATGGGAAAATAAAGAATGACAAGATTCAGCGTTGGCGAATAGAACTTTCTTGTTACAGTTTTGATATAATCTACCGTTGTGGCAAAGAAAACAAAGTCGCCGATGCATTATCTCGCGGATATTCTGCTTCTGTCATGGGTGAAACTAATCTGAAAGACCTACATAACTCTCTGTGCCATCCAGGAGTTGTTCGCCTTCTTCACTTTGTGCGTTCTAAGAACCTACCTTTTTCTGTTGATGATGTGAAGAGGACGATATCTAGTTGTGCAGTTTGTGCTGAGCTGAAACCCAGGTTTTGCAAAGTATCCACAGGAAATCTTATTAAAGCGACTTCTCCTTTTGAACGTCTAAATATTGATTTCAAAGGACCTCTTCCTTCAAACTCCCGGAACAAATATCTTCTTACGATAATTGATGAGTACTCTAGATTTCCGTTCGCTTTTCCTTGCCAGGATATGACAGCATCAACTATTATTAATTGCCTGTGCCAGTTGTTTTCCCTGTTTGGTATGCCATCCTACATGCATTCAGACAGAGGATCGTCGTTTATGTCTGCAGAATTAAAATATTTTCTCCACGATAAAGGAATAGTTACCAGTAGAACAACAGCATACAACCCCCAATCAAATGGACAGATTGAACGTCTCAACGGCACTCTCTGGCGATGTATATCACTAGCTGCTAAATCTAGGTCCATACCAATCTGTGAGTGGGAGGTTGTTCTCCCCGACGCTCTTCATTCTATCCGTTCTCTTTTATGTACTGCCACAAATACTACTCCACACGAACGGATGTTCAGGTACAATCGAAAATCAACGTCTGGTGTTTCTCTTCCCAGTTGGTTAACTATTCCTGGACCGGTCTTGATGCGCCGTAATGTACGTTCTAAATATGAATCTCCAGTTGATGAAGTTGAACTGATTGAATGTAATCCCAAGTATGCTCATGTGAGACTTCCAGATGGACGTGAGGAAACAGTATCTATTCATCATCTTGCACCAAAAGAACATATATTTCAATCGCCCGTTAGCATGCCGATTCCAGACGCAGTACCAGAATGCCTCCAAAATCAACTTACTGAAGACGACATATCCACCCGTTCTACAGATACTGAAACTCCTATTTTGACGGACAATTTAAGTGAAAATGTCAAAATTGATCCGAACCCATCTTCTTTACTAGAGAAACAACGAAGGGTTCGTCCATACAATCTGAGAAGGCGCGAAGTCTAAACAATTTTAAAAGTTTTGATTCCTTATGCTCTGTATTCTCAAACAAAAGGGGAGAAGAATGTGGTGTGAACATTTTCATAAACGTTTAGCATTTATATTATACACTATTCACATCTTTCATTTTTGTTTAAACCAGATTCTATACTGGAATTATAGAACGAATAAAGCCTTTATTGCGGGCCCTCAATATTCTCACTTGATCGGTGAATGTTTGATTAACTCATAAACACTACAAAAGGTATGTAGGGAAATGTAAAACTAAAATAAATAATGATAGTAGTGATAGTGATTAATGATAATAATAGTAATATTAAAGACGACATGCATGTCAAGCATGCACAGAATAATGACAACACCAACAATAAGGAATCTAAATCATCAGTAGTAATTCCATACAATGAGGGAACCTCGGAAACCCTACGCAGAATCCTTAACAAGGCAGGAATAAAAGTGGCTGGCATTCAAACTCACAAACTCAATTAGAATCAAACTTTATCGGTTGAATGGTGGATCCTGTGGAGCCTTCAAAACAAAACAATTAAGTTTATCTAATACCCTGCTAGAGTGATTGTCAGGTCAAATACATCTGTCAAAGTAGTAGAACAGGGGTAGTCAGATTAGCGGAGCACAAAAACCTAGCAAAATGTAAATTGTTTGACCCGAATAAGGTAAGAAATCTAGAGAATAATTCAGCTGTAGCACTCGCTACATGCAATTACACACAACCATACAATAGGATAGGAGGCGATAAGATGACAGTTTTAAATCTGATGAAACAGGGTGGAGGGAGAGATTGATGACGGGAGCTTTATTTATACAATCAACTGAGAGAGAATACGTGCAACAGGAATGATTCAACACCTGTCCACTCGGACATCTGGAAAATTCTACTACCCCTACGACGACAAATGGGAGAGAACAAAGAAAACTATAAAACTCAAGTTTCAAAGTCGTGTGATTGTAATTGATATGATCATGAACAATATATTTTGTTCAAAACTGTGTCATCCAGTGAATAATACTGTTTCACTCACTGTGTGATGTTTCTAATAAGCAAACTAATATGGAAGGGTGATGAAAAACAACAACATACGAATGGCAATCACTGGGAGAAATCGAATGGAAATCGACTCTTTCACCTTTTTACCTTAGCACCGTGGTTTCAATAACAGGCAGTTCACATGACAGTGTCAAAGTAAGCTGGCCATGATGGGATAGGGAAGACAGGAAACATAATCAGAATGAAGATTCACACTACTCAGAACAAAGAACAAGATCCACATTTTCAACATTAACGTCAACTCAGTGATGTATATTGAAGGTCTTATGGCTGACCGTGAACGCCAATAATACTAATGTTAATAATATCAGCTTTATTCTGCAAGTTATGTTTAAGTAGAATACTTCAGCGTAATTTATCGTTAGGACATTTCGACGGGAGTTGCCTGTGAATGCCTTAGTGGGTGAGGTACCTCTTCAGTAGAATCCAACGAATATGTACCGAAGACACACTTCATGAGGAAGAAGGAAAATTTACACAAACTCTGGTTGATAATAGTTTTCCAGATAAGTTCATAAGGAGATGTCAAGTGATCGGAACACCAAGATCCACTCTCCAACTCGCCCCTAAGAAAGACGTGTACATCAGGCTACCCTATATGGGTGATAATAGCAGCTTGGTAACTCGACGGAGATTGAACACTGCAGCTGAAAAAAAAACATTTTACTCAGCAAAGATCAAAATAATTGAGAATGTGAAACTCTTATAGTCATCTAAGCCCTTTGAACATGCGAAAACTGATGTGACATCCTCTCACTGTATTTACCAATTTGAATGTACGTGTGGACACACATACATAGGGAGGACTCACCGATCTCTGCAAGTAAGGGCTTCAGAGCATATTTCTAAATGGCTCCAGAAACAAATGGAATCTTCATAGCCCATTAATGGTGAGAAAAGGAGACCTAGTTCCTCTACTGCCAAACATACTACACAGACAGGACATACAATTGACGTTAACAGATCTTTTAAACCTATCTATAAAACGTGTTTGGGGCGTATCCTAAAGTTTGTGGAATCCCTATTTGGCAATTAGAAAGTTTAAACCACCTTTATACGTCCAAAGCAACACTTCGTCATCACACTAAGCCTTCCCAATTCAACTTTGTTTTGATAACAATAAGAAGCTAACTGGTGGATGGTGACTATTAGCAGTGGAATCCAGGATAAAGTGGACTTCGTCCTACTTCGGACTCGTTGTTGGCTGGATGTACCTGCATTCCCCAGGGAGTGATGATGTTCCCATCACCAAAGCTCAAACCCAGTACCCTAATTACATGCTCAGATATCGTCGAAGCATCTACATTAGAAACCGACATGTCGACCTGAGATGGAGCACTTCGATCCAATCAATCGATGGGAAAATCTAGAATTGAATTGTATAATTCATATAACCCGTTGCAAAAAGGCAGTGGCTCTCGTGGGCCAAGTAGTCTAGTGGATAACGCTTTGGCGTTTGAAGCTATGGACACTGGGTTCAATCCTCGGTGTTGGTGGGAACATCATCACTCACTGGGGAATGCAGGCACATCCAGGCATCAGCGAGTCCCAAATAGGACGAAATGCGCTTTATCCTGGATCCCAGTGCTACTAGACACCATCCACCAATTAACGTCTAACTGCTTTGTCCAAATAATAAATATAATAATGCAATAACATTGGTGAGAACTAGTAGCATCTATGGAAGGAACCACACAATCAACACCAACAGCAACAATAACAAAAGAATGGAGAATCACTTACATTGAATATAATATTTGGATTATCAAGCAATTCACCACGATTTGTTACATGAGTCATATTTTCAACTGGACTGACTTTATTATTTCTACAACTGCCGCGTAGCAAATGCTCACCATTTCGAATACAATTAAATTTACGTGTTGACTTTGTTTTACGTTCTATCTGTGACAGCTTTTCATATGTTTCAGCAGCCAGTCGCTGTGCTTCATCAATACCATTCAACTGATTACTATTACTTATTCTTGAAGAATTTGATGCTTTTCTTGATTCTGGGATAGGTAAGGTTGTTAAATTTGAGCCGCGATAACGATCGTTGAAGCTACTTCGATTGCTACTAATATTACTTTTAGGAGTATTATCAAAATAAGAGACAGGAATTGTTGTCGCATTGAGGTTAGAATTTCTATGAAGTTTATAGTTTCGTCCATTTGTTGGGAATTGTTCTGAGAACATATTGACACTGTTTCTTTGAGTATTGCTCAAATAATTCGACTGATTTGATTTGCTAAAAAATAAATTTAGATTATTAATAAAAAATTATTATCATTATTGTTTCCTTTAATTCCTAGAGGAACATAGAGCTTCAGCCGCGCGTCTCCATTGCGTTCGGTTCTCTGCTAGTCTTCACCTGGCTCCACGTCTGCCCACACGTTTTCATCTCCTCTTCACATGACCTCCTCCAAGTCACCCTTGAACTGACAACTGACTCACCGCTTCCCTTTCGGCCGGGTTCCACTCAAGCAATGGCTTGTCTAGTGATGTCACTTGATGGTTTCCTCAGAGTATGTTCAGCCAATCCACCTCCATTTCTTCCTGCCTATTTGTTTCACAATCGATTCCTGGTTGTTTTGCTCCCAGAGATCCCTCTCTGTTGCTGATCTTTTCTGGCCATCTGATCTTGAGTATTGAGCGAAGACAACTGTTAATGAAGGTCTATAGTTTGTTTGAGATGCTCTTCATGACGCGCAGTGCAAGTCTCTGATCCGTATAGTGAGTAGCACTGACTGACTTCACATTGGAGTTGAAAATCCGGATGTTATTTTTGATGCTGAGTGCTGTTGACATCCACACAGACTTGAGAGTAGTGAAAGCTTGTCTTGCTTTTCCGATTCTTGCTTTGATATCCTCGTCAGTTCCGTCCGCCTGTAGTTGAAACGATGCTTCCCAGGTAGGTAAGTAAAAGAGGTTGTTTCTTTAAGGTTCCTTCCATTTATGCAGATTGTTGTCTGTTGTTGTTGTTGTTGCTGTTGGTGGTGTTGCCCAGGAATCTTCATCACTTCTGTTTTCTCTATGTTTACCTGAAGACCTATCTTCTCTGGATGCTTCTTCTGTCGCCAACTTGTTGCTTTCACTTGTATATCTTCCAGTTTGTGGGAAATCAGACATATATCATCGGCGAAGTCCAAATCCTCCAAGTTTTTTGTGTGAGTCCATTTTATGCCTGCTTCCTCATTGCCCGCTATTTGTCGCATTATCCAGTCTACTGCAATCAAGAAAATCATTGGTGATAGTAGGCAGCCTTGTTTTACTCCTGTCCTCACTTCGAAGGGTCCCGTAAGTTTCCCGTTGTGGATTACTTGGCATGCAGCATAGTCTTACAGGTATATTATTTTGACAGAGTTTTGTGACATCATAGTGATAAATTTCAAGATTGATCAGGGATTGATATCAGCTAGATAATAACTGGGGAAAAAGAAACACCAGAGAGTACTGGGCAGTAGTGTTTCGTCCTGTATTATGGGACTCTTTAGAAGTACACATTAATGACCCCACCCACCGGAGTTACACAATAAGACGAATACTTTAATGAATGAATGAACTGTACTCAGGATGCACATAGAAACGAAGTAAAATATGGAGCTATTTAAGAGTCGGTGGGAATAAAAATAGTTGTTACACCATGATAGTAGAGGTAACAGGTTGAACAATGCTCTTCTGTACGCACAGCTCCAGTTTTTCTAACTGAATGGCTAAGGCTTCAATGATGCAATGGAGACGAAAATGTATTGACTTTGTCAAGTTATTCTTCCCTTTGAAGGAGGCATTTGTTGAGATGGAATGACCAGTGTTGACAAAGTGTTCGATTATTGTACTTCATATAGAGCCATGACTATCTTTCTGCAACAATGTTTAAGACTTGCTAAAAGCCATGCTGGTAGAAAACGGTTATCTGAACCGGTTTATTGACATTAACAAGAAAGATAAGCAGTCTAAACTGGTCACGGACTCAGTCAACTCCGAAGAAAACCTTATTTATGAACTTGGAATTCAAAGGTGGTCAAGCTTCATATATGCTAAAAAGCCGTTTGTCTAAAGCAGTCAGTGAAAGACGTTCTTTGCAGGAAAGTTACAAAGGACGTTCACCGGCCACAAGTTGTTCTCCATCCCTGTAAAAGATAAGCTCCCCCGTCTTGCCGCCTCCATGTGCATCTATTGGTCCATCTGCTTTTGTGGAGCAAGGTACATTGGCCGTAGCCAGAGAACGCCGCTTTCCACACAGATACGAGAACATATTCCAGCTGCATGGTTTTACAAGGGAGAAAGAAAGTGTGTGCGAAGCTCAATATTCTAGAACACGTGATCGAATCCTATCACTCTGCCAACCCTGACCATGATTTTAAGATCATCTACTGAAACCAAGCTAACTTGCTGCATTTTCTTCATTATAGACTTCTAAAGACAGCTGAGGTCTTGGCAATTCATGACTTTAAGCCAGACCTTTGTATACAAAAGAAGTATGTACAATCTCTACTTCTGCCTTGGCCGTAGAGGGATAGACATTTATTTATTTTATTTTATTTATTTAGTTATTCTATATACCTTTCCCTTATCACTACGATTATTATTATCATTATTAGTATTATTATTATTCCTGTTCTCACTCTGAATTGTTTCCGCTTATCCCACTAGTCATTCTAAATTCAAAATTATTTTTTTTACAATTCTGAATTCCATCTGATCACATTTCACACCATGTTATGTAACATTTTATATTAGCCTACTAATCCTACAATTATGCACCCCTTTCCAACATCTATACACCTTATGTATTATTATATATATGACACTAATTGTTTTGCCACTTGACATTTAACTATGATTATAATCACAAATATTTTAATTGCATTTCATATTAGTATTATTATTATTATTTCATGTATTAACACCTTCGACCTAATTCCCACACCGGATATAATTTCTTAAAAACCATATATATATATACATATATATGATTGTACAGCTTGATAACAAATTCGTTGAAAAGAGTCTCTCCGCTGAATATTGTGTTCTTACTGCTACAATGGGAATTATTAAATTATTTATTGATGTAATATATATAGGATATATCATATGAAGAAGACGGAGGTGATGGCAAGAGGAGGAGGAGGAGGTTGCGAGAAAGACCTTCATCACTGTGAAGTCAGACTGAAAATCTTCTGCCCTCAGCATAAAAAATAAAATCCGGATTTTTAGTACCAATGTTAAGTTTTTCAGCTCTACTATATGGGTCAAAAACTTGGCACCAGCGTCATGAAAAACATTTCCAACAGCTAGCTGAAGACTTTTGTCAACAGCTGGCTAGGAAGAATCGGCAAAAAGAAACTATGTTAACAAAGCAATCACGAACCGTGATGTGGTTGTGTTCTCTGAACAGCTGGATGGTTTACTTGTGAAGACTTCATTGCCCCAACACTAGACAACATCTTCAGCGCATACTTCAATTTCGATTGAAGTGAGCTTTTAGATTTCTACACGAGTTCACCATTAGTCATCTCTCCTAGTGGGTGACCTTGAACGTGACTCTCTGGTTGCTTTTGTGTGTTTTCACACCCTCTATGCTACTTGTGGTATTGGAACTGATTGTTTCTTTCACTTGAACTTTGATCCTCAGTGTGTGTGTGTGTGAGGTTTCCTTCTTATCAGTTGGTAAATTCACAAGAGAAGATGAATCCGAGAACAAAATCCAATTTTTGAACGTCTTAGTCAACCGAACAACCACAGGGGAATTGGAAACTCAAGTTTATAGAAAATCAACTCACACAGACCAAATACTCAATTACAATAGCAACAATTCAATAACATACAGAAGGAATTGCATACACATATTATTCAAGAGTACCAGGACTCACTGCAGCACTCCCACCTTAAGGAAAATTGAAGAAATATATCTCATAGACGTCGTTCAAAAGAATGAATATCCACGGAATTCCATCAAAAGACATATACTTTCAAGCCAACCTATCAAATCTAAGGCTCCCAAGGAAAGCAAAAAGAAAATCGCCCTACCATATATAAAGGACATCTCAGAAATGATCACGAGACTCTTCAAACCTTTAGGAATTGACGTCGCCCACAAACCAACAAAATACTTCACTCAGTTCTATGTCAACCAAAAGACTCAACAACGAAAGAAGATAAAACCAACATCATCTACAAAATATAAACTGCAACAACTGCGAAAAACAATACACTGGCCAAAATAGACATCCACTTCGTCTTCGTATCCATGATCATAAACTAGCCGTCAAAAAACATAGCATCCACTCCCTCAATCATATCGCCTTACTGCATACATACAAGAACAAACGTCAATTAGACTGAAACAACCAGCGTTCAAATATTAGTCAGAGGAAACACCAAGAATGTACAGAGAATTTTTAGAAGCCTGCTATCCCAGTGAATCGTCAATCAATAGATACATTGACAATGACAAAAGAAGGAAACCTCACACACATAGAGGACCAAAGTTCAAGTCAAGGAAACAATCGATTCCAATACCACAAGTGAAAACACACAAAAACAAACAAGGTCACCCACCAGGAGAGATGACTAATAGTGAACTCATGGAGAAATCTAAATGCTCACTCCAACTGAAATTGAAGTACGCGCTGAAGATGTTGCCTGGTGTTGGGGCGATGAAAGCTTCGCAAATAAACCAACCATCCAGCTGCTCAGAGAACATAACCACATCAAGATCATCCACGTGAGCTACAAATCTTCTCTATCATTTCTAATCACGAATCCATTGCTCAACAAATATATCGAAGAAAATGGACGTGGATCTGACACACTCTGTGAAGACCTTCAAATGATATCACTCCCCAATCAGAACCTCGAGTGAAACCCAACTAGGAAACGACAAGTTGGGCGACAAATCTCGGGTGATATGGAGGAGATTATGTGAAGTAGAGACGTGCGCTCGATAGGGAGAGAGAGACTAGGGGCAGTCGTGGGACCGGCTAAAAAGGATCTCAGAAAATAAGACCTCGGAACCCAAGGGAACAATTATAATAACAATAATAATCATAATAATGTTATAAGGTTATATAACAATGATAGTAGTACATCTTGTGAACTTACGGAAACATTTCCTTTTCGCCTTTATAACCAACAATATGATCCACACATAAACTGGAAACAGTATTTCACACTGTGTTTCCCAACTGAAATTG